AAGTATCAGCAAAACTGACTAAAAATCACATGAAAAAATCAAACAAACTGAGAAATAGAACTGGTAAGCTTCCGATTATCACAGTTACAAAAACAAATGGACGCTATGGATAGAAAGCCTTCATCATGTAATAATGAGTTGAGTTGATTCAAGAACCGACATCACATCACTCAGGGCGTTCCCATAAGTGCTCCATCCCCAAATTTAGCAGTCAATGCAGAGTTCTAATACCAATGATGCCAGTAGCAGTCTGATTATATGTCCATCTTGCCTTTCCTCTGAGCATCAAGTATCAGCCAGAGCCCGTTGGTACTCCTCGCTGCATCACTCTTACCAGACTTTGATGATCCATTTGCTGTTCCAAATTGTACATGTGTTCCCATAAGGCCTTAACCACATCTGCCTTATCATGTATCATTATTCAACCAAGTTGTACAGAGCCTGCCTGTCTGTCTGCCAGTTCATTTCCCAACACACTGGCATACCCCAGAGAAAAGATCCAGACAATAATCTTCACCCTTGACCTCCTAAGCAAAGCATGCTAGTCTGCACAAAGCATGCCTGACCTCACCTTCCTCAGCATGCTTTTCTGAGTCAGTTACAATCATGGTGTGTGTATTGTGTTCTCTAGCCAGCAGAGCTGCAGTGACCACCTCCACCTCCATTCTTAAGCTGGATGTTGATGTATCATATGCTAGGCTCTTCTGTACCAAATGTTGACCATTAGCTTTTGCTAATAACCCCTATATTTCTATGTCCTCTTCATGTCACTGTTGATACATAAGGCATTCACAAGCGATCTCCATTGCTGCTTTTCTGCCCATTGTATCCCATATCAGTTTACATTCCTTCATTTCCCATTCTGTTGTCCTTCTCCAGGTTTCCTTAGGTCGTCCATGACTCCCTTTCCCATCTGCTTTCCACAGGAGAGATGTTTTTGCCAGTGTCACAAGGCATTCTGCAAACATGTCCAAGTCATCTCCATCATCTTACTTTGATAACATTTGCCAGTGATGCACATTCTGTTTTCCTCCTCAGTTCTTCATTTGTGATCTTGTTTGGCCAAAATATTCGTAGAATTCTCCTTAAACATTTACTTTAAAAAGTTTCAAGTTTATGTGTAATTCCCGCTGTGGGAATAAGAACTTCTTTTGCCTCTTGACACTGAATCATCTGTATAAAGCAGTTGTTACTTTAAAATGGGATGTCTAGGGGATTTAATTTGTGAGTTATAAGTTAGCATTTGTGTTGTCCTGATCACACTTTCATGCATGTTCATAAGTGCTCAGACTCCCTGTCCCTCAGCACATACACCAGCACCGTGCAGCTTATAGTGCCAGTCCTGTCGTCATCGTCATCATCATCATCATGTAGCAGGTTCTTTGCAGAACATCACTCTGATCACAGCCTGTCAGAAAATAAAAATAAAAACCTTGGTCTCTTGACAGATCTTCCACCTTGTTCACTTTCCAACTCAAAGTATCTCTTATATCATGTTCCCATCTTCATGCTAATGCTGGTCAGCCCCTGACCCTCTTTCCTGGCTCTTCCGTGCAGTTAATAAAACTTCTCATATCTCTGGGGTGGGCTCTTGATCCTGGCTGTACCCATCTTTGCCCCAAGAACTTTCATCCTTAGCAACGGCATAGACACCTCTCCCCCCCTCCCCCCACCCCCATCTGAAGTCATCCAGTTATCGTCATTATCAACATCATCAAGTACCTTGCCGACTGACTACTGCATGTATCAGTTCATGTGTTGACACATCTCCATGCCATGACAAAAGACTGCCAAGAATCTTTATCATACTGTCTTCTTCTGCCTCTCTTCCCACAGATTTTTCCACCAGTTACAACATTTTTCAGTTTCCCTGTTCTCATAACATGACCAAAACATGATGACTGTTTCTTTCTGATATTTGTGACAAGTTATCTAGGATTCACAGCCGCATGTTAAAACTGGTACTATGTAGCATGCAAGAATTCTTTCTCTAACCTCCAGTGACATGGATTTATTGCACAAAGTGTTCTTCATTTTATAAAATGCAGTTTTGGCCTGTCTATTCTGTTCTTTATCTCTGTGATACATTTCCCATTAGGTGTTATCCATGCGCCTGAACCTAAATTTCTGAACATGTCCCAAAATAACGCCTTTGACTTATATTATCATTTAGACACTATTCTTTTCTTGGCAATCACCATTACTTCTGTCTTCCCATTATTCAAATTGAGACCCATTTTATCACTTTCCACCACCACCATATCTATCAATTGTTGTATTTCTTTCTTTCTTGTCGCAATCAAGGCAAGGCAGCATTATCAGTATAACGTAGCTTGTTCATGTTTTGACCATCAGCCACAATTCCTGGTATATCCATGATATATTTCATTATATATTCACTGTGTAATGAAAACAAATCAGGGGGTAAAACACATCACTGTCACTCTCTAGGGACATAACTAATGCCTGCTTGATCCATAGCTTAGCTGTATGCAGTGATTACAGAACCAACCTATCTGTCAGCTCTTTTATTGCTGTAAACACTGATATTCTTCTTCTTCAGCATTCCAAGCCCTTGAGGTTCATTGCTGCAGATATCACCCACCTCCATTCGTCTCTCTGGTTGGCCTTCTTCAGCATTCCAAGCCCTTGAGGTTCATTGCTGCAGATATCACCCGCCTCCATTCATCTCTGGTTGGACTTTTTCAGCATTCAGATCCCTTGAGGTTCATTGCTGCAGATATCACCCGCCTCCATTCATCTCTCTGGTTGGACTTTTTCAGCATTCATATCCCTTGAGGTTCATTGCTGCAGATATCACCCGCCTCCATTCATCTCTCTGGTTGGACTTTTTCAGCATTCCGATCCCTTGAGGTTCATTGCTGCAGATACCACCCGCCTCCATTCTTCTCTCTGGTTGGACTTTTTCAGCATTCCGAGCCCTTGAGGTTCATTGCTGCAGTTATCACCCGCCTCCATTCATCTCTCTGGTTGGCCTTTTTCAGCATTCCGATCCCTTGAGGTTAATTGCTGCAGATACCACCCACCTCCATTCATCTCTCTGGTTGGCCTTTTTCAGCATTCCGATCCCTTGAGGTTCATTGCTGCAGATATCACCAGCCTCCATTCATCTCTCTGGTTGGACTTTTTCAGCATTCCGATCCCTTGAGGTTCATTTCTGCAGTTATCACCCGCCTCCATTCATCTCTCATTTTGGCCTTCTCTTTCCAGTTGGTGACACCAAGTGTTTGCAGGTCTGTCTAGACATCATCTCTCCATCGTCTTCTTGGTCTGCATCGTGGTCTACGACCATTCATTTTCCTTGTGTATACAGTTTTCACTTCTCTGTCATCTAAAATTCTCTCAGTATGCCCCAACCATTTTAGTCTAACACTGAAATCCCTCTACAACAGTGGCTGTCAACTTTCCTAATACGCCACCCTTTAATAGAGTTTCTTTTGCTCTGGTGATCCTCAGCCAGTATTTTCGTTGCTTCTTCATAACTTCAGTAAATATGTGTTTTTTTATAATCTTTGGCAACCCCTATGAAAGGGTCTACAAAAGGGTCATGACACCCACATGTTAAGAACCACTGCTCTACAACCTAGCACCAGCACCATGGGATGGAAAAGCCACTTGAAGAGGTGGATTAGACAGTTGGGTAGAAAATAGGAGGAAGACATTGGGTCAGCTAAAAGATATGGAAGACATGTGGCCAGTTAAAGATGAGGAAGACGTGTGGCCAGTTAAAGATGAGAAAGATGAGTGAATTAAAAAGATGAGGACAACATGGGATCAGGTGAAAGATGAAGACATGCTATCAGTCGAAGTTGAGGAAAGTGTGGAGTAGGCTAACAGATGAAGAAGACATGGGATCAGGAGAAAGATGTATCAGTTAGAGATAAGGAAGACGGGGGTCAACTAAAACATTAGGTAGGAAGATAATAGGTCACCTAAAAGATGAGGAAGATATGTGGTAAGCTGGGAAAGGATGGTTTGGAGTGAAGTGATGGTGGGCTTGGGTTGCATTGGGAGATGAAAAGGCAGGGAAAAAAAAGATGCTTGGCAGCAAAGGAGTTAATTAACACTTCTCACCCACATTTCCCCTTCACGTTTGTTGTAAACACAGAGCTGTTTTCGGGTTGCGTCATGATTGCCCACACAGTTGGTAATCAGGTATTCAGGTATTTACAGTTCCAGCTGCATAGCAGATGCCATAGTCGCCCTGTTCCTGTGCCAGCAAAAACTACACATAAAAAGTGATGCTGACTAAAGTCTCGGCAAAGCCAGTGAGTAGCATGCATACACATTAAATACAGAAATCAACCATCAGAAGTGCCAACACAAATAGTCCGGCACTAGAAGAGCTTTGATTGTCGAAGGAAGGAACAGTTCCAAAGATAGGTCCCCCATGTGGGTTCCGGTGCCCTATTATAGGGAAAGTAAAAATAGACCCACTGCCTAACCAAAGCATGTCGTAAGAGTTGACTAATTGGGAGCTTCCTTAGAAGTCAGAGCGCATCTGCCTGAAAGGCAAGGAACCAGGAGTCTGCATACAAATAAGTCAGATCTGTAAAACGGATGCACACGCAACACTCAGGTCCTGGAACAGGACTGCAGTCCAGAAGTGGATGAACAACCAGAACTTTCCGCCAGCGTTTACAGCTGGTCAACGCCAAGAAGAAGAAAACAGATAAGTATTTACACATGCAATTTATTGCACAAGGCACCACCAATTTCCTGGGAACAGACCAGTTGCCATTTTCTGAATCTGCATTTCACAAAGCTCTCGGAGCACTCCCATGTGCGCTCCGTCCTCATCTTCAGCAGCCAGCTTAGAGTCCCAATACTGATGGTACCGGTCACAATCTAGTTATATGTCTGCCTTGTCTTTCTTCTGAGTGTAGTGAGCCGGCCAGACTCACTGGTTACACCCAGGTGCGTTTAATGATGACTTTATGCTAAAGGTTTAAATTTTCAGTGATTTTTTTTTTTTCCAGATGGACAAGATGGTAAATAAAGCTGTGCAACTTTGTTGTCGGAGGCTAAAAAGGAAACATCTATTGTTTCCACCAAATTTTTGGCGGCCGATTCAAACGAAAGGTTTCTCCAAGCAGTCAGATGCCCACTCAATACTGTCTCAGCTGACAATCATCCAGTCTTCCAACAACATTTGTAACAACTGCCTTGCAGGAAGACTGGGTCTACCAACATTACATAATATAAAACAGGTATTGTTTGATTTTCAAAAGGCTTCAAATAAAAACCTGAAAATTTTTATCCAAATTGCAGTAATCATACCATGGTCTTGTAAACCTGCCAGTATTGTTAAGGATGTCAAGAGAGTTATGCATGTGGCATTACATGACATACTGACATTTTAAAGATGGCCCACCATTACTTTTGATATTTACCAAAGACAAGCAGCATTCTGAAATGGTTGAGGCATATTGAGAGAATGTCAGATGACAGAGAAGTGAAAACTGTATACACAAGGAAGATGAATGGTCATTGACCACGAAGCAGACCAAGAAGACGATGGAGAGATAATGTCGAGACAGACACTTGGTATCACCAACTAGAAAGAGAAGGCCAACCAGAGAGATGAATGGAGGCGGGTTAAATCTGCAGCAATGAACCTCCAGGGCTCGAAATGCTGAAGAAGAAAAAGCATTTTTTTTTTTAAATTTGTGAAGAGGAAAACCTCTAGAAATTAATTGACGAATGAAGATCCAGTTTGGCGATGCAAGCCTGTCTTCTTCTTCTTCTTCTTCGCATTCACTGACTGTAAACTCTGGCGGAAAGTTCTGGTTGATTCGTCCACTTCTGAACTTTAGTCCTGTTCCAGAACCTGAGTGTTGCGTGTGCATCCCTTTTACAGATCTGACTCATTTGTATGCAGACTGCTGGTTCCTTGCCTCTCAGGCAGATGCACATCGACTTGGAAGGAAGCTCCCAATTAGTCGACTCTTACGACATGCTTTTGGGTAGGCAGTGGGTCTATTCTTGTTTTCCCTATAATATGGCCCACACAGGGTGACAGTCAGTCCAGCTAGTGTAGGAAGGGGGTAGAAAGTTTCAAAACAGTGTGACTTCTGTGACAGACTATTAACGACTAGAGGGCTGCGTGGTCACGAGGCATGGTGTCTGCCTCGAGTGCTAGAGGTTCTGGATTTAATTCCCGGTAAAGGCTGGGAATTTTTCACGTTGACTTGGACTTCTAGTAATTCCCCCCTGGTCTCTGGGTAGCGAGATCGGACGCCCGTGTGCATTGTTGCGCATGTACAAAAATCCCTTGGCAGTTGGAAATCAAAAAGATTAGCCTAGCGGCGCTGCCCGGGCAAAATTTGAAGTTAAAAATCTACCAAAAGTTTTTCAGGATCCTCGCCGGTGCTACAGAGCCTGTGCACTGTGCTGAGCTTCTTCGGACTCAGACTCGAGTTAGAAGAAGAACGGAGCACTTATGGATTAAACCCGTGTGCTATGATGTTGATCCTTTCTTCAAAACCTCAAACTGTTCACGACCAGGGGAGACACACCAGTTAGTGACGCAGTGGAGCTATACTCTTTTCTCTCCCAAACAGGACCCAGCGCCTTCTCAAAAGCTATCATTTGTGCATCTAGTGCTAGTCTGATGCCAAAAAAACACACAAGAGAAAGGAGCTAGAGAGTAAAAATAAAAAGATGAGCTGCATGCAATAGCGAAGGATAGAACGACTTGGCCTGAGTTGGTTTAGCCTATGCTGCATTGGGGGTTAGAAGGCAGAAGAAGAAGACTAGTCTGATGACATTAGTTGCCTTATATGACATGTTAATGAGTCGCCATGGCAGAGCGGCTAGACGCGCCCCGCGGATTGGAAGGTCGTGGGTTGGCTCCCAGGTCGACCCAGCCTTGAGTGGGTACCAGGTGCAGTCCCGGGAAGTAGAGGTGGCTGGCCTGATGCTAACCACATCACCCATCTTGTGCCGTATAAAAATATAGGTCCAGCCCTATATGCCTTATACGCCTAAAGGCATGGAAAAGGGTCCTTTACTTACTTTTACTTATATGACATGTTTGCTAGGCGTCAGTCAGTCGACAGATCATCCTCATTACACATCGAATCACTCAGTCTGTAAGTACTGGGATCCCCTCGTCAGTAAATCCCACAATAATAAGTTGAAGATGTCGCGGCCAGTCTCAGATGTAAAGATAAGTGCAACTGTGCTTGAACAATACATGTATTGAGGTAAAACAAAATGCTACAGAATAAAGGGGCAATGACGCAGAAAGATTGAGAGTTTAGTGTCTGAGAAAAGGCATTCTAAATACATGTGAGGGTGACAACGGTCCTGATATCTCCTGATATAATTGTGGAAGTCACATCTTAACGCAGGCAAACCTTGCCAGTCACACTTGCTATGATTCCTATGCCCTATAGCACAGTGTTCCCTGTGTGGGTTCCGGGGCCCTATTATAGGTAACACAAGAATAGACCCACTGCCTACCCAAAAGCATGTCGTAAGATCTGTAAAACGGATGCACATGCAACACTCAGGTTCTGAAACAGGACTCTGGTCCAGAAGTGGATGAATAACCAGAACTTTCTGCCAGAGTTTACAGCTGGTGAACGTGAAGAAGAAGAAGAGATAGCACAGTGTAACATGTCACATGGAAAGGTGCCAAATATCCAAGTGTACCCTGCTGTCAAAGGCAGGATGGTGAAGAATGCAGCTTTATATGTTGGCAGTTGGTGCTTAGGCAATATTTCCACATTATAAAGGCTACCCACAAACATCACAGCTTGTTATTTTGGCTTACACCCATTTGAATCCTCACTGATGCAGTAGATTTATGTGTACTGAGCTGATATTCTCCTTGTGTGATCTGTAGAAAGAGATTGAAGCATATTTGGACATATATGTATGCAGTTGAAGTGACTTTTTACAAACTAAGCCAAATACAAATGGTTGGCAGATCATTCAGTGAATTAGTCCCTGTGGTAAGTAACAATTTCTTGAGGCCTCAGAGATGTAGTTTTACAGAAGAATGCTTAAAATACCTTGGACAGCCAAAAAGAACAACTAAGAGATTTTGAAAGAGGCGGGAGCCCGAAGACAACCAATCACAGAAATCAGAAAGAGACAGTCATCATTTTTCGGCCATGTTATGCGAAAAGGGGAAAATGGAACATGTTGTGACCGCTGGAAAAATCTGTGGAAGGAAGACAACGAGAGATGATTCTTGACAGTCTTGTCGCATGGCATGGAGGTGTGTCAGCACATGAACTAATACATGCTGCAGGAGATCGCAGCTTGTGGAATGGCATGATCGCCCAAGCCAGTCGGCAAGGCACCTGATGATGATAAGTACTTGAGTGTACATTACACCAGGCCCATTGTCTGAATCTTCAATGTAACAGCTCAAAAAACTGGAGCTGTTTTTCATATTTTTTGTCATCTCACTGATACCGCGTTGTAGTCTATGTCGTTCTTTTTTATATTTGTCTCACGCTTCTCGGGTGGCTTGATCGATGGAATACTATAGTTTTAGAGAGTATATATATATCATAAATTTTCATGTCTACCATTCTGCATGCTTGTTATTATTGCAGTTTTTATTTGTGCCTGCCAGTTTCAGTTGGTGAAGTGGTGGATTTTTTTTTTTTAAATGAATGTGTTTATGCTTTTATGTTTACAACTCTCCTTATTTCTCATTATTCCATGTTTGCTTGCATCTCCAGCTGTCAAATGTACTTCACAAGCAGCTCAAGGTGTTGACTTCGATTTTGATGAAATCAAATTGGTTACAAGGGGAATGCATCAGACAGTTCATTGAGAAAGGTAAATTGCTCGCTCTTATGTTTCTTACCACATTACTGGGACCATCTCAGCGTTGTGAAGATGGTTGTTGGGAAGTTAACTGTTCCACACACAAAATATGTGAACAACACAATATATATTTCAGCGCTACAGAACACAATTGAGGTTTGAACAAAGGGTCAACATCATGGCCCACAGGTAGTAACCCATAAGTGCTCCGTTCTACTTCTAACTCAAGTCTGAGTGCGAAGTAGCTCAGCGCAGTGCACGGGTTCCCTAGCATCGGCAAGGATCCTTCAATATTTTGGAAAGAGTTTTAACTCAAAATTTTGCCCGGGCAGCGCGGTTAGGCTAATATTTTTGATTTGAACTGCCAAGATATTTTTTGTGTGCACAACAATACACACGGGCGTCCATTCATCAGTAAAAAACAATTAGTGGAGAAAAGACAACACTCACAAAAAAGTAAATGAGCTAAATAACTAATTATTGCATTAAAATACTATGTAAACACATTTCAAAGAGTTGAGTTGAGTCAAGAATTGACATCACAGCACTCGGGGAAATTCCATGCATGCTCCATCCTCATCTTCAGCAGCCACCGCAGAATTCCAATACTGATGGTTCGGTCGCGATCTGGTTTTATGTTCGTCTTGCCTTTTCTGTGAGTGTAATGAGCCGGCCAGACCCTCTGGTTACACCCAGGTGCCTCCATTCTCTCCAGGCCATAATAATCTTGTTTCTCTACTGATTCCGTTGCTTGTTACCAAAGAGCCTTGACCACATCTGCCTTGTCATGTATCATTTCACCACCCGGTGGTGCAGATCCAGCCAATCTGTCTGCCTGTTCATTACCCACCACGCCGGCATAGCCTGGAGAAAAGATCCAAAGTATGCTCACTACCCGTGACCTTTCCAGTGAAGCTTGCGACTCTGCTCGAAGCATCCCTGTCTTCACGTTTCTCAGGATGCTTTCACAGTCTGTTATAATTACAACTTGTGTATGCTTCTTGTTCTCTAGCACACACATTTCTAAATGATAGTAACAAAAAAGAATGATATCAAATGTGGCCCTTGTTAACTAACCACATTGCCCAGCACCACCTGGCCTAACAAAAAAAAAAAAGGTCTGGTACAGTGTACCCAATACACCTCATGGGTTAAAAGGAGGTTCTTTAACCTTTTGACCCCAAGAAGCCACAAAACTGACACCTTCGGGTGATACCATTTCCCTGTAAAAAAAAGAACCCTTTCATGACTCAGTATACGTATATATATTTAGTCATGTTTGTGAGGCATCTGGCTAACGTAATTATTTGCATTTGTGCCTGCAAACATATTTGGCGTAACAGGGGAGGACTAAATTTACTAAAAATAGCATTAATGTTTTTTTGTTTTTTTTTATGGCTTTATTTAAAAAAATTTCGAGGTCATTTTTTCCCATTGGTTATGGTGGTTACTGGGCAAGCGAGTCACAAGGTCAAGTAAGGGTCTTGTTATAATTAGTTTACAGTTTCCAAGAGATATAAGTTTATTGATTCTATGACACATTCATTTTTATTGATTGCTCACCATGCTTGCCGTTTTCTTCATTTTTTTGGATGAGAAATTGACTTTGTGCAGTTTTTTTTTTTTTTTTTTTTAGTTGCGTATCCTTTACAGGACATTGCAGAACCAACCCTAGCATTTTTTGGCTGATGTGGCAAGTTTATGTCCAGTAGTTTGCCATTGCTTTCTGTAGGGTCGGCTTCTTGATACCACTGTTGAAACCAGGGCAAGGCCTGCAGCAAGGATCGAACCGGTCATTAGGAAGCTTGTTCGTCTAAGCCACAGATGCCGACTTGTCTGTGTGAGGCATCTTTAAAATGGTTGTTTTTCTATGGATTTTTTGATTTTTTTTAAAGAGAATATCTGAACAGTGGAAATTATGGAAGCTTGGTTTTTTCTAGGTCAAAATGGTTTTTTACTTTCTATATCCCTAAATATGCCACAGGTCCAAAAAGTGGTGTCTTTTACCATTTAAAAAAATCTGATTGCAGAGTTACACACAAACCTAGCCTCCTCAGGTGACAAATCAGATCCCAAGCAGGAAACACAAGAGAATAACAAAGATCCTCAGAAAGCAGACGGGAAGCAAGGAGATGATGAGGGAAAACAAGAGGATGAAGAAGCCGAGAAAGCAAGAAGAAAAGGTTGGTGCTTTTTTCTACAAGTTGCTGAAAAAAGTAAATATACACCTATAGGCATTTTAGTTGCATTTTTTCTATTGTATATGCTGTTTGTATAGCTTTTGTATCACTTAATATTTACAAATGGTGTTCAAAATGGGCTGTCTCATTTATTTGTTTCATATATTTATAGTTACTTGTACTCACTCTTGGAACATGTAGATAATAGGCGTATAGCTTTTTTCTGCATGTAGATAGTAGGAGTATAGTGCCTTACTAAACCAATAGATATTAGGTGTATAGTTTTTTTTTTTTTACTGAATCTATAGATAGTAGGCGTATAGTTCTCAATGCACATAGTAGGTATATAGTTTCTTTCTGAATCTGTCAATAGTGGGTGTATAGTTTCTTTCTGAATTTACATAGTGGGTATATAGATTCTTACTTAACCTATAGATAGTAGGTGTATAGTTTCTTTCTGAATGTAGATAGCAGGTATATAGTTTCTTACTGAGCCGATCCCAAAGACTAGTTCTGATTATATCTATATTTGGTTGCTTGCTGGTACTAGGAATTTGTGCACTGTGCTGAGATGCTCTTTGTGTGGTCTGTGACAGGAAACTAGAGCATTACCAAAACTGAGATGCTCTTTGACAGCTGAAGATGGGTACAGAGAGCTTATGGGAATGCCCCAAGTACTGTGATGTGGGTTCTTGAATCAAATCAAATCAGTTTGACAGAAAACTGGAGCATTCCACTCATCTGAGTGTGCTGTTAGCAATCTTAATCAATCTTCAGCCAAGAAACATCGTCTCTGATAATACATATATAATACAATAGTTTCTTAAATATCAAGTATTAATATAGTATATTGCACTCATACCTCGGGAGTCGCGTGGCATAGCGGCTAGATGCTCATGTGGGAATCAGTATTTTGTGGGTTCGCTCCCTGGCAGAGTCGGACTTTTTTCAAAAATGACCTCGATTCCCAGGTCGACCCAGCCTTGAGTGGGTACCGGGTGCACTCCCTGGAAATAAAGGCGGCCGGTGTGATGCTGACCACATCACCCATTTTGTTCCGATTGGTCTGAAAAAATTTGGGTCTTGCCCTATATGCCTAGAGGTGTCAAAAAGGGTCCTTTACTTTACACTCATACCTCAGTTTTGCGGACCCCTGTTTATCAGAAATAGCTGACTAATTCTGGAAGGCTGGTTGAATGTTTGTCAGTTTTAAATGTTAAATTAAGAATCAACATCACAGTACTCGGGACTCCCCCATAAGCGTTCCGTCCCCATCTCCAGCAGCAAACGAAGAGTTAAAATTCTGATGATACCAGTCACTGTATGATTGTATATCCGTGTCGCCTTTCCCCTGAGTGTCGTGCGTTGGCCAGATCCCCTGGTAACTTCTCGCAGTACCGGTCTCCTCAGACCGCAATGATCTTATCTTTTCCTCAGCACTGTTCATTCGCTCCCAAAGGGCCCTCACAACATCCAGCTTGTCATACATCAGTTCACACCACTAAGTGGTGCAAAACCAGCCAGCCTATCTGCCTGCTCATTTCCCAACACACCGGCATATTCTGGAGAAAATATCCAAAGGATGCTAACTAACCGGGACCTCTAGAGTTGTTTTTCAGTTTAAAATGTGTGCTGCAAACAGATTTGCTGCGACACTGAACAAAATATAATCTTTTTCGGGGAAATTTATTTTCCAGTTGAGTTCATGCGGTTTCTGTACACATTCATTTCTGTGATGGTGCTGGCCTGGCTTCTGAGTCCAAGTACCATGAACCAGGACAGTGCTGCCGCCAAGTATATCTCCTGGAGCGAGTTTCATCACAACATTCTTCTCAAGGGGGAGGTAACTTCTTTTTTGTTTTGTTATTTTTATGATGTTGATTATTCTAGCTAGGTTTATGTCCCTTCTTGTGTGTGTGTGTATGGGGGAGGGGGGGGGAGGTTACTTCTTTTAATAGTCCATGAGAACAACCAGTTGCACACACCTGTTATAATTGTAACTGGCTTATAACCACACAGAATGTTTGTCAGTATCCTTTGTGAAGAAAATGGACACAAGACAGCAGTCTTAGCAAATCCAGCAGCATAAACTCACATTAATGGCACAAGGCACAAAAGAAAAGGCCAAAACAAACATACCTAGCAACACTATAAATGTCATCATCATCATCAGGTGCCTTGCCAACTGGCGTAGGCGATCATGCCTCTCCACAATCTGTGATCTCCTGCAGCATGTATCAACTCGTGTGCCGACACACCTCCATGCCATGCAACAAGACTGTCAAGAATCTTCTCTCGTTGTCTTCCTCTATCCCTCCTTCCACAGATCTTTTCAGTGGTAACAACATGTTCTATTCCCCTCTTCTCGTAACATGGCCGAATAATGATGACTGTCTTCTCCTGATGTTTGTGATAAGTTGTCTTCGGGCTCCTGCCTCTTTCAAAACCTCTTGGTTGCTCTTTTTGGCTGTCCAAGGTATTCTAAGCATTCTTCTGTAAAACCACATCTCTGAGGCCTCAAGAAATTGTTTGGCCTGCTTACCGATTGTCCAGGATTCACAGCCATATGTTAAAACTGGATGTATCTAGCAAGCTATAATTCTTTTTCCAACTCTCAATGACAAAGATATATTGCACAAGATGTTCTTCATTTTATAAATGCAGTTTTTGTGTCCTATTATATTTCTTATCTCAGTAATGCATCTTCCATCTTTTGCATAAATCATGCCTAGAAATGTATAGTAATAATATGCTGTAGTTTTGGTAATTATGCCATACATCTAAGTCCACATCATATTGATTTGTATTTTTCTTACACATAAATAGACCACGCACACACACCACACACACACAGACAACACACACACACACACATATATTTATTTATGTATTAATTCATTAATTACCCTATTGGGCCGTTATATATATCACATAGTTCTCGCAGTCTGTTCCTCCATTACATTATATCCTGCGCAATCACTTCAATATCATGGGTGGAATCCAGTCCAGCATCTTTAGACTCTGTCATCAACATTCGTCTTAGGGTTTCTTTTGGGCGTCCTGACCTCCCTAATCCCTTTATCTCCCATTTAAATGCCAGTTTGGTGATTCTCTTGATTTATACACACACACACCACACATACACCACACAGAACATGCACAAAACACACACAACACACGCAGACAGCACACAATACACACACAACACACAGGCAGCACACACGCAACACACACACACAACACACGCAGACAGCACACAACACACAGGCAACACAGACAACACACACACAGCACAACACTCATATATTTAATGGATATACACTACATCGCCGGACTGTATCTTCCTGATACAGGTGAAGAGTATCTATCTCCACTTTTCATCAGAAGAAGGAGGTGAAGATCTGGCCATTATTGAAGTCTACCCTGGTGCTGTCATTAAAGGACAGGTGGTAAGCAGGCATATTTTCTTTGCTTTATTTGTGCTTGTAAAAGACTCACAAAAAAGGCGGAGAAAGGTGAAAACTAGCAGTCTTCATGCAATGTGAAATGCATTTCTTTGGATCCTGCATGAAAGCATTCTTGGAATCTTTTCTTCAGGTCATGCTAGGGTGTTGGGAAACTAACAGGCAGAGAGGCTGGTTCTGCACCACTGGGTGATGAAGCAGTGCACACAAGGCACTAATCTATACAGACGGATCCATTATACGCCAAAGAAGAAGCGCATGGGCATTTACAGCACGCTCAGCGGGCAGAACAGTCAAAGAAGCCAACGGCGCCTATTCCATGACAACCAGCAGCATGACGATGGAGGTGATGGCAGTGACGCAAGCGTTTGCCTGGCTTGAAACGCAAAAATACACCCGCATATGTATACTCAGTGATTCAATGAGTATGATCCGGAGGGTTCAGGCAGGTTCGGTGCGAAGACAATGGCTTGAATCAATTCAGAAGTCCACTGTGCGAGGAGTCACCTTTATTTTTGTTCCGGGACACGCAGGCGTCGATGGAAATGAAAGAGCTGACAGGTTGGCTGGATCCGCTATCACTACCGACGGTCGGCCTATGGATCATGCTGATATTATCAATGCCCTCAGAGAAATGGGAAGGATAGAGGACTTTGGTGGCAGTGAATCCACATCACTCGCCAGGATGGCAGACTTGGGAATTAAGATCGGCACAGCAAAAAACGATACGCACACCGGACACGTCAGAAGACTTGTTAATCAACATAGAACTGGTACTATTAGCCATCGGACGTTGGGATTCATACTGAGGGGAGGATCTGAGCACCTATGGACATGTCCGGAGAGCAATGATGATAACCCAACTAACTAACTAACTAACTAACACAAGGCAGTTACAATGAAGAACATGTAAACAACAAAGAAGCAAAGCTTACTGTGGTCTTGACAGAAAGGTGTAAAGTAGAGTGATTGGAGGATCTGGTTGACATGCAGTACCCAGAAACAGAAAAGGCTATCAGACTGCAACTGGCACTTTTAGTATTTGAAATTAAAGATGAAGCCGGATTTCCTCTGGAAATGCTCTCATTGCTGTGATTTCGGTCAACTCATAACTGAGCATTGCAAGATCACTCATAGAAACCGAAAGCTATAAATTTATGGAGCATATTATCCAGTATCAGAAGTAGAAAAGAGAGGTTATGAGAAACTGCTCAGCAAGAGAGGCAAGGCAAGGCAGAAGACAGTTTGTGTTGCAAGCTTCTACAGCTTGGCAGTAAATCATCATCTTCTTCTTCTTAGTGCTCACTGGCTGTAAACTCTGGTGGAAAAGTTCTGGTTGTTTTTCCACAACTGGAGTTTAGTCTTTTTCCAGAATTTGAGTTTTGCATGCGCTTCCATTTTACAGATCTGGTGTATTTGTATGCGGACTGTTGGTTACTTGCCGCTCAGGCAGATGCATTCACACTTGGAGGGAAAATCTCTAATTGGTCTACTCTTATGGCATGCTTATTAGAAAAGCAGTGGGTCTGTTCCCCTTTACACGCACACACACAATCACAATGGGGTCCCAGGTACCTAGGGGAAGATTACAAGAAATTACCATAATCTGACCTATTATTATGTAAAGATGTGGACCTTAACAGCTGAACTCGAAAGGAAGATACAAGCATTAGAAATGGGATGTTTCAGAAACATTCTTAGTATATCATACAGAAACCAAATTACAAAGAGGTTCGCCGTAAAATTATACAGCACATTGGCAATTATGAACCTCTTTTAACTACAGTGAAAAGGCGACTCATGTAATGGTATGGACATGTAATAAGATCTAACGGCCTCTCAAAAACAATACTGCAGGGCTCAGTAGAGGGAAATAGGAGAAGAGGCAGAGGCAGACTAAGAAATACCTGGTTACAGAACCTGACCGACTGGACAGGCCTTAAGCATGCAACCATGAAGTCCATTGCAACTGACCGCCAGAGGTGGAGAGAGCTGATCAGACAGTTAACAGAAACTGGTGACCCAACGACACAGGATGATGATGATTGTGTAAAATCAGTAAAAATGTATATCCACTAATCATATTCCTCTAAGAGATAACTGCTACTTAATTTCATTTGGATAGCCATTTTATTGTCAAGGCCTTCCTTGAGCCTTCAGCTGCATCTTGTCTTCTTGTCTTGCAGACGCACAGAACACACTACATGATCAAAATACCAAAAGGATTTAACTTTGAGGAAAAGGTTAGACAGGTGGAAGATGAACTGAACATACCACTCAAAGACAGGATACCTATCACATACGTGTATCCCAAGTAATGTATACTGTCTAGCCAATTTTTGTTTAAAATGTCTTTACTCTTGTACCTTGTTTTCCCAAAAATAAGAGGGAATATGAGAGGTTTCTTATATTAATTTGTGCTTCAAAAAATGTGCCACTTATGTGTTGTTTTTTTTTTTTTTTTTTTTTTTTTTGGATACAAAAATTTACATTTTTTCATCTACAAAATTCAACATTTTTTCATATACTCAAATAATCTAACCTTCGTTTAGAACATCGCCATAATTCTTCAAATCCTGAATTCCAGTCTGAATTTCTCGCGACTGTTTCCTGAAGAACCACTGACCACAGTCTTTCGTGTCCAGCAATGAAGCTTTCCTTAAATCAGCATTTATTGTCCATGCAGCCTGCTGGTACTGCATTGGTAACACAGCTGTCAGTGATTTTGTCCCATGCATTCTTCGCCCAGGTCACTACCTCCTGCAGACTAGGCTTCACAGAGCTGATAGACTGGCAGGTGCTGCATTAATTGAAGATGGCCGGCCCATGGATCACACAGACATTGTCATTGCCCTTAGAGAGATAGGATGTTCTGAGGATTTTGGAAGCCACGTGTCCACATCACTGGTAAGAATACGAGAATCGGGAGTTAAGATCGGCACAGCCAAGCATGGGCAGCACACCGGATGCACAGGAAGTCCTGTTAACCAACATAGAACTGGCACTATTAACCGCACGACATGAAACTGTTGAGAGGGGAATCTGAGCGCCTGTAGATGTGTCAGGAGTGCTGTGAAGATAATCTTAAGGGTATGAATGATGAATGTTGAATTAAGAATCAACATCACAGCACTCTGGAGACACTCCCATAAGCGCTCCGTCCCCATCATCAGCAACAAGCAAAGAGTTGAAATTTTGATGGTACCAGTAACTGTCTCAAGTATATCCGTCTCGCCTTACCCCTGAGTGTCAAGCATCGTCAGATCCCCTTGTAACTCCTCACATTGCCATTCTCTTCAGACCATAATGATCTTTTTGTGCCTCGGCACTGTTTACTCGCTCTCAAAGAGCCCTCACAACATCCAGCTTATCATACATCAGTTCACCATCAAATAGTGCAGAACCAGCCAGTCTATCTGCCTGCTCATTTCCCAACACAGCGGCATGACCTGGAGAAAATATCCAAAGGATGCTAACTACCCGAGAACTTGTGGGCATTTGATCTTGTGTTAGGCAAGTGCACAAAACACTGTGACCCCACATCATGAATAGACTGCAACAACAGCAAGTGAGAAGAGGTTTGTCCAGACTAGATCACTATGCAGGAATAAAGAAGAATAGGAAACCATGACAGAATTTGTGTCATCAGCGCTGTGGGATTTACTGAGGAGGGGATCGGAGCACTTATGGGTTGAATGGTTCGATGTGCAATGAGGATAATCTGTCGACTGACCATCATGTGTGAGTGTTTAGGGAAAACTTAACATACTGCAGTCAACAGAGATTTGAGGAGAAGATACTGACAAAAATCCAGCTAGAATATCTTTGCATGGGAACTCACAGGGTAACAGCAAAAAAGGCAGACCACACAAGAAAGGATCCACAGATTGAAGTTGAATAGAAAATGATGGAAGGACATGGGGTGAGCTGCCTGTGATAACTGAGATGATGACTTGGTGCCAGTGGGTTGAGAGCCTATGCCATCATCCTCACCACCTTTACTTTCCAGAACTATACCTGCTACCCTCTCAAGGGTGGGCCGACTTGAGAGTCATGGTGATTAAAAAGAAATCTGCCATTGTCAGGATCCAAACGCAGGTCCTCTGATCCACAGGCCAGGGTCTAGCTGCTTTACCACGGTGGCTGCCGAGAAAAGAAAGTAAAAGTAAAGGTCCCTTTTTGCGTACCTTCAGGCGTATAGGGCTAGACCTAAATTTGTGTAGACCAGTCGGCACTTGGTGGGTGATGCGGTCAGCGTTAAACCTGGCCGAAGAAGAAAAGTTTTAATTACAAATAAACTTGGACAAGTTTTAATAGATTTCACTTGTGTCTTCCAGCTCCTGGGTGATGCTGGCAATGCAGCTGTTTGTCATCGCGGTGCTGTTCATCTTCATCCGTCAAATGTTTACTTCTCTATTCAAGGGCAAGGACGGCAACACAACTGACATGATTGACATGTTCTTTGTAAGTTCAGAGGTCACACCATGCGTTTGTTTTTGTTGTTTGGGTAATGCATGTGTTTTGTTGTTGTTGTTTGGGTAATGCTTGTGTTTTGTTGTTGTTGTTTGGGTGATGCATGTGTTTTGTTGTTGTTGTTTGGGTAATGCATGTGTTTTGTTGTTGTTGTTTGGGTAATGCATGTGTTTTGTTGTTGTTGTTTGGGTAATACATGTGTTTTGTTGTTGTTGTTTGGGTAATGCATGTGTTTTGTTGTTGTTGTTTGGGTGATGCATGTGTTTTGTTGTTGTTGTTTGGGTAATGCATGTGTTTTGTTGTTGTTGTTTGTATAATGCATGTGTCATGCTGGCTGGCTCTCCATGACAAAGAAGTTGCTCTGTACAACTTGGTGGAATACTGATGCATGATACAGCAGACATAGTTAGTGCCTTGTGGGAGAGCGTGTCCAGTTTGGAGGAGCAAATGGATCTCCAGTCTGGTGAGACTGATGCAGCGGGGAGTGATGAGGGGTTCTGGCAGATACTTGACTATCATAGGAAGGGCAAGACGGATGTTTAATCAGAATGCTACTGGCACCATTAGTATCGGAACTCTGCACTGGCTGCTGAAGATGGGGACGGAGCGCTTATGAGAATGCCCTGAATGCTGAGATGTCGATTCTTGAATCAACTCATCAACTCAACTTAACTCATGTGGGGTGTTGTAGACTGGTCTGGAGTGGAGGACTCACATACTGTCCAGGACATGCAAGCCTGCGAGGGAATGAACGAGTGGATTTTTTTAGGCTGCAAAAGCAACTATAGCAGGAATGCTCATTGTTGGGCAAGGCAGGTGTTCTGAAGGCCATATGAAAGCAAATGATGATAGAAGACACAAGGATTAGATGCAACACAGCCCCGTGGAAGGAGGAGGGACAAAGGAGGTGGTTAGTCCCACTGCCCCAACAAGCTTGCTGGGTCAGCAGATTCTGTTGAGGTTATAAGGAAACCCCTGCTATATTTAGTTAATATATTCACATTCAAGCCTCCTAAACACTGTGCAGGTGCACATAGAACCATGGACATTCAGCTGCGCTTTTCAAGCATAGTCCATTGCAAAAATGGTGATATATCAACATTTATGGGGCTTTATCGCAAACGGAAGGGTGATATATCTGCATTTCCCCAGAACCCACATGGGGAGGTAGTAATTAACATTGCAATTAAACGTTCAAAAGTTTTATTGTTGCAAGTAAAATAATGTGTAAATTACTTCAACAGTTGATCGTTCACTGACCTCTCTCCCCAGGGTGGTATCCGACAAGCCAAGTTCACACGAGTAGACATCATGTCCAAGGGGCATGAAGCTATAACCTTCAAGGATGTGGCAGGGCTGCGGGAGGCCAAGATTGAGGTCATGGAGTTTGTTGATTACCTCACAAATCCACAGAGATTCAAGGTCTGTTCTTGGCTGTTATATGCTTTTTATTTCAGGTGTGCGTGTGGCTCTTATTTGTGTTTGTATTTAAAGTTTCTTTACTGATGTTGTCACAGCTTAGGGCAGGGCCATTCAACTAATTTCTTCACAATTACTAAAACGTTAGAGAACAGGGATTATCGAGGGCCTGAGGCCCAACAAAGAACGATCATAAATACAATATAATTGACAGGTGGTCCACAAGCTACATACTAGGCCTCTCCAGGCCAGATTTGGTGCGCGGGCCACCAGTTGAATAGCCCCTGCTTAGGGGTTGATCAGATTTTTTAAAAATAGTATTATTCTTCTCCGTCTCCTCCTCCTTCTGCCCTTCTTCTTCTTCTTTTCTTCTTCCTCTTCCTGTTCCTCCCCCTCTTCTTCTTTCTCCTCTTCCTCCCCCTCTTCTGCCTCCTCCAACTCCTTCTCATCCCCCTCTTCTTCTTCTTCATTTTTCCTCCTCCTCCTCCTCCTGTTCCTCCTGCTGTTAATCTCCCTCTTCTTATTTGTACCCCACCAGGACATCACACAGAGCGATAAACACCTGGGGCACAAAGTGCCACCTTTCGCATGAGGTCCCAAAAACCCCGTTCAGCCGTTAGGCCATATTTAGGGCCCCTGGCCCGCTATATTTAGGGCCCCCGGCAAAAGCCAGGGTGGGGCTTCAAATAACGAAAGATTGCATCCCCCATTGGGACGACTAACTTATCATTCTTGTACTGTATTTAATTGTCAATGATCAGAACTGTATCAGCACATCACATGCTGTTTAAATTATGCCTACCTGCTGATATGCTTAGCATACACTGTGTGGATCTTGTTATTGTTTCATTGTACAAATGAAATCGAGCCTGGAGAGAATGAGGCACCCGGGTGTAACCAGAGGGTCTGGCCGGCTCACTACACTCAGAGGAAAGGCAAGACGGACATTTAACCAGATTGTGACCGGTACCATCAGTATTAGAACTCTATGCTGGCTGCTGAAGATGAGGACGGAGCACACATGGGAATGCCTCGATTGCTGTGATGTCAATTATTGACTCAACTCAACTCTTTTACAAATCGAATACATACATCAGTGATAGCCAGTACACTGCCTTCCCTACCACTTAAAAAATGTTTTAGAAAGTTTCCATTTGGTTGTCAGTTGGCACAGTGAAATGGTCAAGCTGTTTTCCTTGCACTCTGGAGGTCATAGATTTGTTTCACAGATGCATTGTTTGGTTCAAGAGAACAGTTTTTAGAGATACCTGGATTCTACACCACTGGAGCTACGATGTTACTGCTTTATGTCAGCGTGTGGTTAGCTGTTCTGCGGAGAGATACAGAGTCATTTGGGCTAATTAGGTTTAGTGGAGTTGATTCCCTTGACTTTTAACTTTTTAATGCTGCTTTCTGATACCAGAATCTGTTCTATTTTGGTCATCGTCTTTCAATTCTTTAATTCCTTCGAAGTCAGAGTGCATCAGTCTGAGAGGCAGGGAACCAACAGTCTACATACAAATAAACCAGATCTGCAAAACTCAAGTACTTGATGGGACAAGACTAACATCCAGAAGTGGCCAGACAACTAGAACTTCCCACTGGAGTTAACAGTTGGTCAACACTAAGATGAAGAATATTTGCTGTTATCTAGGTATCACATATGTTTGGTATCACATATACTTGGTATCACATATGTTTATTTACTTTCATTGTAGGATCTGGGAGCGAAAACCCCACGGGGTGCCTTGTTGCTGGGGCCTCCTGGCTGTGGTAAAACACTGCTGGCCAGGGCACTCGCCACAGAGGCCAAAGTTCCATTCCTGGCTATGGCAGGGTCAGAGTTTGTGGAAATGATTGGTGGTAAGTCAGATTTATGTAGTCCACATACTATAAGCATTTCTTGAGATGAGGAACATGTGTTTGTTATGACAAATGTAGAGTTATATGGATGGGAGCTAGATAGACCAAGAGAGAAGATGTTGACCATAACATCTGTATTTGGAGAGAAAAAAATGAATCGTAGTTAACATGGTAGATCCCTGTGTGGGTTCTGGGGCTCTATTATTGGGAAAACGAGAATAGACCCACTGCCTACCCAAAAGCATGTCGTAAGAGTCGACTAATTGAGGGTTTCCGTCGGAGTGCATCTGCCTGAGAGGCAAGGAACCAGCAGTCTGCATACAAATGAGTCAGATCTGTAAAATGGATGCACACGCAACACTCAGGTTCTGGAACAGGACTGCAGTCCAGCAGTGGATAAACAACTAGAACTTTCCGCCAGAGTTTACAGCTGGTGAACACGAAGAAGTCGAACACGGTAGAAGACTGTAGGCAAATAATTATCAGTGCCACCTGGCATGGATTCCTTCCTTCGATAACGGGAAAATTTTGAATTAAGAATCGACATCGCAGCACTTGGAACGCCCCTATAAGTCCCCATTTTCAGCAGCAAGCAAAGAGTTAAAATTCAGATGGTACCAGTAACTGTCTGATTGTATATCCGTCTCGCCTTTCCCTGAGTGTTGAGCGTCGGCCAGATCCCCTTGTAACTCTTCACAGTGCCCTTTTCCTCAGACCATAGTGATCTATCTGTTCCTCTGCACTGTTCACTCGCTCCCAAAGGGCCCTCACAACATCCAGCCTGTCATACATCAGTTCACAACCAAGTGGTGCAGAACTGGCCAGTCTATCTGCCTGCTCATTTCCCAACACTCCGGCATCACCTGGAGAAAATATCCAAAGGATGCTAGCTACCGGGGACCTTTAAAGTGATGCTTGCCACTCTGCATGGAGCATGCCTGTCTCCACCTTTCTCAACATGCTCTGTAAGTCAGTTACAATCACGGCATGTGTGTAAAGCTGCTTCTCAAGCCAGCAGAAAGCAGCAGTGACTGCCTCCAGCTCCATTCTCAAACTAGACTTTGTGATATTATATGCCAGGCTTTGTTGCACCAAAACAGGAAAATATGGTATTCCTTCTAACACCCGTACCCATTTTTTTATCACAGGAGTTGGAGCTGCCAGAATTAGAAGCCTCTTCAAGGAAGCTCGAAACAAGGCTCCGTGTATCATCTATATTGATGAAATAGATGCTGTTGGTCGCAGCAGAGGAGGGTAGGTCATGTTGTTTTGTCTGCTCCGACTTGTATGAGTCTATTTGACAGGCTGGAGGTATTTTTCCATTTACTATAGACCCAGAAAATGAAAAAAATATCTTATGCAATAAATCGCTCTCATTTAATGTCGGAAAGAGGGTGCTAAAATGTTACATAGAACCTGTTCTGAGGTATGGCAGCAAATCTTGGAATGTCAATGAACAAATTAAGAAGATGGGGTTTCTGAGATGAATGTTGTGAATACCTTGGACAACCAGAGTAACTAACGACGATTGCTTGAAAGAAGCTAATGAAAGTAGATCTCTATTTACAACAATAAGAAAGAGACAAACACTGTTCTTTGGCCACATAATGAGAAGAGAGACATTGGAGAACATCGTGACAGCTGGAAAGATCAGTGGAAAAGGAGGCAGAGGCAGTCCAAGAGAGATTATGCTGGATGGGCTGAAACGATGGCATTGAGGGATATCATCAAGAGAGCTGTTCCAGGCAACCAGGAATCGGGATCTGTGGAAATGCATGAGTGCCTACGCCAGTTGGCAGGGCACATGATGATGATGATAATAATAGACCTCCACTCATCCCCATGTAAAAGACGACCCCTGTTTTGCGAGCCCAAAATTGAGAAATGAATATTTATAAATATAATAAACACATATCCACTATATAAGACAGTGTGCAATTTTTTAATTGATACATTTTGGAAAACACTCTCATAAGTAAAAAAAATACGCTAAGTAGTTAATGATCCTTTTCCTGCCATGGGCGTGAGGTGTTACGGCCATATTTTTGCAGACATATCAGCATTCATAGGATTACGATACCAATATTACACTGACCACCTTAACTTCCCACAACATCTCCAGGTACACTTTGTAGCTTGGCTTCACCTGAAAGCCCAGGTAAATTAGAAAAATACATTTCAATAGGGATTTGAACTCAAAACCTTTGAACACGCATGCAAGGTCACATGCTTGTATAATTTTGAAAATATTTCCCCTGTGTGTGTGCTATAGTGGTTTTCCAAAGTTGTGCCCTCACACTTGAAGAAATATCTCGAAAATGCATGTACAGATTAACAACAATTTTTGCCTGTGGGGTTAGATTTGCCCATGTCCTTAGGATTTTATAACTTACAGCTGCACAGATGCTGCTGTTTTCATCAAGCTGTGAATTTCTTTGATCTTTGTTTGACTAACAATTTCTCTACTCCTAAAACATTGAATATACACTAACTGACACAGGCGGGGAGATTGTCTGGAAATCAGTTCACTTGTGCAGCGATGTGTGGTGATTATTTTGAAAACCTGTCCCACATACAATGACAAATTGTGTTCGTGTGACTCACGGGAGGCTATTGATAGATATGACTGGGAAATATCTTTCAAACGCTTGCAGTTTGATGTTTTGAAAAAGTTCCCATTACTGAATTAACTGTAAGCATGCTGTTTGTTTGCTTTGAATCTGTGGCTGTTTTTTCGTGCACTGCAAATAACAAAATGAAAACTAGAAGTTTGTTTTTATATAAGGGGGCAGTCTGGCTAGAAATGTGAAAAAATCATATTTTTGCTTCAATACATTCTATGTCACTAACTGTGTGGGTGAACATGTCTATTTTCATCTGCAGTTTAAAAATTTTTTTAATCTGATCAACGGAACCTGAGATTTTTGTGTGTGTTATAAATGGGTGTATTTTCATTGCCGAACATCACCATTTGACAGAGTGTTGAATGTTGAATTAAGAATTGACATTCCAGCACTCGGGACACTCCCAAAAGCGCTCCGTCCCCCATCTTCAGCAGCAGGCGAAGAGTTAAAATTCTGATGGAACCAGTAACAGTCTGATTGTATATCCGTCTCGCCCCTCCCCCGAGTATTTTGACAGAAAATCCTAGTACTTTTCAATCCAAAACAATGCACCACTCCCTGTTTCTGTGGTCTTATTATAAATGATTACTCTGCCGACCGACTTCCGCCATTTGCATTGCGTTTACAGCGAGATTTTTATGTGCTTCGCTTTATATTTTGTGATATTTGATCAATATTTAGTTCAGAATTATGCATCCATTTCCAGAACAAAGGTGTAAAGTCCCAAAGAAGTTGACATCAGTTTACTTCTGCTTCAAAGCGACTTTGACTGATCGATTTTTCAGTCGCACCCTTGTGTTTCAGTCTCAAGCAGTGACACAAAAACAAAACAAACAAAATCGTAGTTTGACATGATTATTAATAGATTGCATGCCAAACTTGAACAACTTAACCGAAGGGTTACTGGGTTACATATTTTTTATGTTGCGCACGACATCTAGAATGGAGTATACAATTCGATGATATTATGACAGTGATCTTATTTTCCATCACTACAGTCATTTTTATACAGCTCTGAAACCGGAGCACAACTAAAAGAAATAAAGCCTTATTACAGGTTTTCAACAACAGAGTCTTATGACGAATCTTTGGAACCATCAAAGTTGCAAACAGCGGGGAATGGATAGTGAGAAGCAACAATGAAATTCATAATCTGTTTGAATCACCATTTATCACTGGCTTCATGAGAGCTAATAGACAGAAATGGTTTTAGGGCATATTGAAAGTATGTCAGATGACAGAGAAGTAAAAACTGATTACCCAAGGAAGGCAAACCAAGAAGACGATGGAGAGATAATGTCCAAGCAGACCTACAAACACTTGGTGTCACCAACTGGAAAGAGAAAGCCAACCAGAGAGATGAATAGAGGCGGGCGATGTCTTCAGCAATGAACCTCAAGGGCTCAGAATGCTGAAGAAGAAGAAGATAGTGACTCTGGTGTCCCTGTAATCATGCCAGCATCTCTAGAATTTCTGTCATAACCATAGATTCACAGTCATCACTACAGCTTTGCTGTCATTTATCTGTCATCATTCTAGCTTCACTGTCTTCACATCTATGCCATCTATCTAGCCTGACTGGGGGCTGCGTGTCTCGAGGCTTGGTGTCCGCCTCTGGTCTCTGGGTAGTGAGATCGGAAGCCCGTATGCATTGTTGTGAAAATTCCCTTGGCAGTTGGAAATTGAAAAGGGTAGCCTAACGGTGCTGCCCGGGCAAAAATTTGGAGTTTAAAATCTACCCAAAGTATTTCAGGATCCTTGCCTGTGCACTGTGCTTCGGTCTTGTACTTAAGTTAGAAGAAGAAAGGAGCACTTATGGGTTACTATCTATGTGCCATGATATTGTTGCTCAAACCTCTAGCCTGATTGTTATCACTATAGCATCACTGTGATTACTCGATCACTCTACATCATTCTAGATTTACTGTCATTACTCTGGCATCTCTGCGATCAATATAGCCTGACTGTTATCACTCTAGCATTACTGTGATCACTCTTTCATCACTCTGACTTCACTGTCGTCATCCCTCTAGCATCACTATCATCCTCTAGCATCACCATCATCCTCTAGCATTATAGCATCACTATAGCACCACTAACATCACTATAGCATCATCATCATCCCTCCAGCATGTATAGCATCATTTTTACCATTCTAGCATCACTATCATCCTCTAGCATCACTATCATCCTCTAGCATCACTATCATCCTCTAGCATCACTATCATCCCTCTAGCATCACTATCATCCTCTAGCATCACTATCATCCTCTAGCATCACTATCATCCTCTAGCATCACTATCATCCTCTATCATCCCTCTAGCATCACTATCATCCTCTAGCATCACTATCATCCTTTAGCATCACTATCATCCTCTAGCATCACTATCATCCTTTAGCATCACTATCATCCTCTAGCATCACTATCATCCCTCTAGCATCACTATCATCCTCTAGCATTACTAGTATCACTATAGCACCACTAACATCACTATAGCATTATCATCATCCCTCCAGCATGTATAGCATCATTTTTACCATTCTAGCATCACTATCATCCTCTAGCATCCCTATCATCCTCTAGCATCACTATCATCCTCTATCATCACTATCATCCTCTAGCATCACTATCATCCTCTAGCATCACTATCATCCCTCTAGCATCACTATCATCCTCTAGCATCACTATCATCCCTCTAGCATCACTATCATCCTCTAGCATCACTATCATCCTCTAGCATCACTATCATCCTCTAGCATCCCTATCATCCTCTAGCATCACTATCATCCTCTAGCATCCCTATCATCCCCTAGCATCCCTATCATCCTCTAGCATCACTATCATCCTCTAGCATCACTATCATCCTCTAGCATCACTATCATCCCTCTAGCATCACTATCATCCTCTAGCATTACTAGTATCACTATAGCACCACTAACATCACTATAGCATCATCATCATCCCTCCAGCATGTATAGCATCATTTTTACCATTCTAGCATCACTATCATCCTCTAGCATCACTATCATCCTCTAGCATCACTATCATCCTCTAGCATCACTATCATCCCTCTAGCATCACTATCATCCTCTAGCATTACTAATATCACTATAGCACCACTAACATCACTATAGCATCATCATCATCCCTCCAGCATGTATAGCATCATTTTCACCATTCTAGTATCACTCGATTAGCATCAATCAGAGATCTTCAGAAGCTAACTCATATCCTCTTGATTCATGGAATATCAAGGCTGTCCAGCGGCGGTGGAGAAGATGAGCACACCTTGAACCAGTTGCTGGTGGAGATGGACGGCATTGGGACACAAGAAGGGGTCATTATGTTGGCAGCTACCAACAGGGCAGATATACTAGATAAGGTTGGTCTTTGAGGGTTCTTAGTTCAGTTGTTTGGCTTTTTCAGGTTCATTGGCATAGTTTATTCTGATGTTGTGAATGTGTCTCTCTGTCTGCCGCATTATCTATCTCTGCCGCTCATATTATCTTTCTTTCTCTCAGCCCCTCTCTCTCCCCCCCTCCCTCCCTACCTACCTGTCTGCCTGTCATTCTACCTGTCTATCTGTTGATCTATCTTTCTGTCTATACACCTAGTGGCACATTGCAGAACATGGACAAAGGAAAGACAGAAAGAAGTAGAAGACCCTTTTAAAGCCAGTGGGGTTTTGTGTATATGGTGTTAGACAAGTATTTTTGTAAGAAAGTCAGTGACCGTCTTTACTTCCCAGGAATTTATGTGATACCAATTTTAGGCTGGGAGCAAAGGTTGTATTTTGAAGGGGGGGGAGGGGAGGTGTTACTTAATGCAGATTCAAACCTAAGACTTTCAGTATGGCAGGCAAGCATCGAGCTGCTATGCTATTGTGGCTCCTGATAATCATTATAGTTTTTGTATTTTCTTTTGGGTCTCAAACTACAGGCTTTGCTACGCCCGGGACGTTTTGACAGACATATCATGATTGATCTCCCCACGCTTGCTGAGCGGGAGGAAATCTTCACCGTATACTTGAACCGGTTGAAACTGGCTCAGCCTGCCAGTCACTACGCCAGGCCTCTATCCAAACTGACACCAGGGATGAGTGGTAAGTACAGCAGAACTGGTTTGTTTTGCTTGTTGCCAGTTTTCACTGAATTATCATCATTATCAAGTGCCTTGCCAGCTGGCTTAGGCGTTTATGCATCGCCACAGATCTCGGTCTTCCTGGATCAGTTCTACTTTTGACATTCCTCCGTGCGACTGTTTTAAGCCATCCACCATCATTTCATTTGGTCTGCCTCTGCATCTTCTACCAGTGATCTTTCCAGTTTTGACGATATTTTCTAGCGCTGCTTTTCTCACTACATGACCAAAGAAATTTGTCTCCTTCTGTGTTCTACTTTCACTTGATACTGTTTTTAAAAAAAAAAATGTGTACTGTCTCCACAGTGGGATTTGATTTCTTTCTTTCCTTGTGTTCTCCCTGCCAGTGGTTGTCAGGTGAGAAGGTCGCCTGCCTCCATGAAGTCTGGGGTGTGATGTACGCCTTCCACTGCTCCATGCAGCTTGGTTTTCATTGGAATGCCAACCAGCCAAACCTGAGATCTCTCTACTGCATGTAGAGAGCATGTCTCTAGCACGTATTCTGTGGTACCTGTCCATATGGGCAAAGTTCTGAATCCCAGTCTGAATCTTCAGTTTCTTGGACATATGGCTTCAGAGTCTGTTGTGTCCAGTATGCAGTCTAAATATAATGATCTGTTTATTTCGTGTGAGAGGGTTGATTGGCTTTTCAATGTTGTGTCCTGGATACAAAGGATTCCACTAGGTTCTAATGGCTGCCTTGATCTTCTTCTTCTTCTTTCGTTCGCATGAAATAAATTGTCTATATCTGCAAAGCTGTCTCTAGTATGAATTTCACTGTCTTCTGTAATTCACTAAGCGGCCCGTAAAGTTTGACTTCCACAAGTGTCTCTCTTGGCCAGAAGTTTTGCCTGGAAGCGTTCAATCTGGGACAGTCTTGGAGGATGTGATCTGTTGTCTCAGGTGCCAGTCCACAGGTACACATGGCTGATTGGCCAATCTTAAATTGGTTGCACATGTGGCAGCGAAGTCGATTGTGCCCTGTTCTAAGGCGAAGGATAATGACTTGCTCTGGTCTGTCCATAATATGGTAATCATCTTGTACCAGTTTCGGCGGCATTCTGATTGATTTGATCATTCTCTTCTTCTGTTGATAAGAGACTGGTATGTCAGGTTGTTCCTCAGTTGCACCTTCCCTAGCTAGTTTATCAGCTCTTTCATTCCGGGAACTCCACAGTGGGAAGGTATCCAGTGCATTACTAAATTACAACGGTTGCCTAGTTCGGATAATAGTGTCTGTATGCTTGGTAATTTTCCAGACTGGAGTGCCTGAAGTACCGCTTTTGCATCTGTCTGCCTTGATCTAAGTTCTATTTTTTTCACAAGTTCATCCTATTTTGTAACCAGCATGCAACATTCACACCACTGTCCAAAAGCCACAAGAACAGTATATTTATTGAAAAGCATGTAATAGACATACAAATTTATTAAAAGACAGAAGTTTTTCTTACATGCACAGACATTGCTAACATTTATAACCAGGTTGAACATTTTATTTATAGGTGCAGATATTGCTAACATTTATAACCAAGTTGAACATTTTATTTATAGGTGCAGACATCACTAACATTTATAACCAAGTTGAACATTTTATTTATAGATGCAGACATCACTAACATTTATAACCAAGTTGAACATTTTATTTATAGGTGCAGACATCACTAACATTTATAACCAAGTTGAAAATTTTCTTCACATGCACAGACATTGATAACATTTATAACCAAGTTGAACATTGTCTTCATATGCACAGACATTGATAACATTCATAACCCAGTTGAACATTTTCTTCACAGCTGCAGACATCACTAACATTTGTAACCAAGTTGCACATTTTCTTCACAGGTGCAGACATTGCTAATATTTGTAATGAAGCAGCCATCCATGCTGCACGTCACAAGAAGAAAGTTGTTGAGAGAGAAGATTTTGAATATGCTGTTGAGCGAGTCATTGCAGGTAAGTGTGCATGTTTCTTCTTCTTCCTCCTTCTCCTCTTCCTCTTCCTGTTTTTGTTCTGTATTTGCCCTTGAAAGGATGATTGGGACAGTGTACTGTTTACAGCTAGTCTGTGAAATCTATGCCTTTCAGGGAAAACACATCCGACTTCAACAAACCTTAATTGCTTGTTTAGGGACAGCAAATGTATTCTTTTTATTCCTTCAGTATAAGACTCCAGAATTCACACTGAATCAGATTGTCAGCCTGATCCAGCTGTTGTAATTGTTAGTTAATCAGATTGTCAGCCTGATCCAGCTGTTGAAATTGTTAGTTAATCAGATTGTTAGTCTATTTCAGCTGTGGAAATTGTCAGCTATCAGATTTTCAGCCTGATCCAGCTGTTGAAATTGTTAGTTAATCAGATTGTTAGTCTATTTCAGCTGTGGAAATTGTCAGCTATCAGATTTTCGGTCTGTTCCAGCTGTTGAAATTGTCAGATTGAAATTGATAGTTCAGCTGTTGAAATTGTCAGATTGAAATTGATAGTTCAGCTGTTGAAATTGTCAGATTGAAATTGATAGTTCAGCTGTTGAAATTGTCAGTTTGAAATTGATAGTTCAGCTGTTGAAATTGTAAGATTGAAATTGATAGTTCAGCTGTTGAAATTGTCAGATTGAAATTGATAGTTCAGCTATTGAAATTGTCAGTTTGAAATTGATAGTTCAACTGTTGAAATTGTCAGTTTGAAATTGATAGTTCAACTGTTGAAATTGTCAGTTTGAAATTGATAGTTCAGCTGTTGAAATTGTCGGTTTGAAATTGATAGTTCAGGTGTTGAAATTGTCAGTTTGAAATTGATAGTTCAGGTGTTGAAATTGTCAGTTTGAAATTGATAGTTCAGCTGTTGAAATTGTCAGTTTAAAATTGATAGTTCAGCTGTTGAAATTGTCAGTTTAAAATTGATAGTTCAGCTGTTGTTTTATTTTCTTTTTCTTATACTTGTCTTCCTCCTCCTCCTTTTCCTCCTGCGGCCCTTTCTTTCTTCTTTCAAATACCCCAGCTTTTAGTAGAAAGACCCTGGTAAAGTTCTCACTATACCTTTGAATTCGATAGAATTAAATCTAGCTTTCTGTTTAATGACTGAAACATAGGTGCTGAAAAGAAGACCAGCTTGCTGTCACCGTCAGAGAAAAAAGTGGTGGCTTATCACGAGTCGGGGCATGCCCTGGTTGGGTGGCTGCTGAAGTACACAGATGCTTTATTGAGGGTAAGTTTGTTGAAACCCTTCTGTGGGTTTTACTCAGCTCTTGTGTTCTTTTGATGTTGTTTTTAGTTTTGACATTACAGATTAATAATAATCTGCACACAGGGGGCTGAGTGGTCTCGAGGTATGGCGTCCACCTCAAGTGCTGGAGGTCCCAGGTTCAGGCCACGGTGAAGGCTGGGATTTTTTTCACTTGCACTTCTAGTAATTTCCCATGGTCTCTGGGTAGTAAGATCGGACGCCCCTGTGTATTTGTGCACGTAAAAAAAATGCCATGGCAGCTGGAAATAAAAAAGAGTAGCCTAACAGCTTTGCCCGGGCAAAATTTGTAAAATCTACCTAAAGTATTTTAGGATCCTTGCCTGTGCAACGGAACTCATGCACTGCGCTGAGATTCTTTAGACTCAGGCTTGAGTTAAAAGTAGAACAGATCAATTATGGGTTGCACTCATGTGCCATGATGTTGATCCGTTGGATAAACATTTTTAAAAAAAATAATAAAACATAATCTGCATTCACAGAAGAATTAAATGGGAGTACAACATGAGGTAGACTAAGAATATTATGGAGAGATCATATATATACATGCAGATTTACAACACCAAAGAGAAGGCCAATCAGAGAGGTGTAAATGGAAATGGGTGCTGTTTGCAGAACTGAACCTCGAGGACTTGGAGTGCCGAAGGAGAAATAAATTTAATAATCAAATCTGTATTCCAGATACCTTTTGAGCTTTCAGATTTATTTGTCATGCTGAATGAGTCCGAGCAGTTAGAACAGTGGGGTCTTATTTTAGAGACTTAGGTTTGAACGTCTGGACTTGGTTTTCAAAGGGCCACAAATTGGGCACAGAATCTTGTTTTACATTCAGCTCTTCTAAACAATCAGCCTGCATACTGCAATTGTATTTTATATTTAAAGCATATCATGTTCATATAGCAATGTGCATACTAACAAACAAACTTTATTTTATAAGTTTACAATGGGGCACGCAGGCCCGACTTTTTTTTGTGTGGCCCTTCCAAGCAATCATCTTTCAGACCATAATTGCATGTTATCAGTAATGCATTTTATGTTTAAATTTTTAAAAAAATGGTAATTACAAAGAAAACTGACCCTCCAAAATGTAACATCAAAGTAAGTGGGACAAGTTGATATGTTAAGTACTTGGGTACCATGATAACATCAGATGGAAGATATATTAAGGAAGTTAAATGTCGAATAGCTCAAGGAAAAGCAGCATTTTACAAATTAAGAACATCTTTTGCAATCTATCTTTGTCAGTTGAGCCAAGAAAGAGAATTCTTAAAAGCTATATAAATCCTATATTGATATATGGAAGTGAATCATGGACAGTTAGTAAATTAGTGAAAACTTTTTTGGAAGCTGCAGAGATGTGGTTTTATAAATTATTGATGAGAATACCCTGAACAGATAATTTAAAAAAAAAAAAAAAAAGAGTAATGAAGACATCTTTAGAGAAACTGACTCACAAAGAGAACTGATTACCCACACCAAAAAGAGACAATCTACATTTTTTTATCATGTGTTGAGAAGGAGAAATATGGAGTACATCATGACTTTTGGACAGTTGGAGGGGAGGAGAGGCAGAGGGAGACCGAATGGACAGTTTGACATCATGGCATGGAAGATCATCTGTGTCAGAGTTGATTGAAAGTTCACGAGACAGAAGGTTGTGGATAGACATGACCCACCAACGCCACATGGCATGGACTCTAAAATATATATAAACACATATATGCACCATTATTCATGCATACACGTACATAGACTCAGACTATATATATATATAAAATCAGCTGTAAAGTTGTAGACTTTTTTTAAAACATTTACTCTCCCTCATGTTAGGATTTTTGTTGATAAAGGCTTCTGCCAAAACGTCTGATTGTTCCTACGTTTGTGTCCCCTTCCTCCCCCCCCCCCCCCCCCCCCCACTATCATTAAGCTTCTTAGTTATGGTTCAGTTTAATAATTTCATTATATCGGGTTGACTGCAGTTACTCCTGTTTTTATTACTTTTGGATTTTTACCTATTGGGGCAAAAATCTCACAGTCCTTGAGGAAGAAAATATGGTATTTTGAGCTGATATGCTATATAGTAAGATTCTCAGAATACCACGGAACAAAGAAGAAGAGAAATACTGACATCCTAAAATATCTGAACATCAAGGAAGATTGACTTGTAAACAGCATCTTGTCCAGGAAATCGAAATATATTGGCTTGAAAGAAATAATAACAGAAGGAGCATGGGTCAACCAGCACGAAGATGGACAAAGGATGTAAGTGACACTCTGGGTAGGAAAGTGCACTTGATTCTTTGTATTGCATCTTTGTCGTAATGCCAATCGAGTTATATGACAAAGGGCACCAGTATTGAAATGCAAACACATAAATGTGAACATAAAAAGATCACTGTTCAACACAGTATTTTTTACCAACTCTTTAATGTCACTTCTTTTTATTATTGTTCAGATTTCCATTGTACCAAGGACAAACAGTGCCTTGGGCTTTGCTCAGTACCTGCCATCAGACCAGAAGCTTTACTCCCAAGAAGAGGTAGGGCAATTAATCTTTTTATTTTTCTCCTCCTGCTCTTCGTCCTCCTGCTTCTTTTTCTTCTTCTTCTTCTCCTCCTGCTTCTTCTTCTTCTCCTCTTCCTCCTCCTACTTCTTCTTCTCCTCCTCATTCTCCTCCTCCTTCTTCTTCTTCTTAGCATTCATTTGCTGTAAACTCCGACAGAAAGTTCTGGTTATAAGCCACTTCTTAATTTTAGTGTTGTTCCAGAACTTTGAGTGTGTGCACATCTGTTTTACGTATCTCGCCTTTTGTATGCAGACTGCGAGTTCCTCGTTTTCCTTACGGATGCACTCCAACTTCAAAGTGAGCACCCTTAATAAGTCACCTTGTAGGACATGCTTGTTGGGGAGCAGCAGGTATGTTCTTGTTCTCCCAAAATGGATTCACTGAACCCACACGGAAAAACACTGCAATGAAAAATGATAAATGCGTCAAAAATTTATTTTGGATCTTCAACTTTATGCAGCCCAGAAAGGTGGATAATAAACGGTCAGTCAGAAAGTTGAACTGAGACTGTGGATATATTAAAGCATATCTCCTTCTTTTGCTTTGTTCACCACCTCACTCTTTTCCTTTGATGACCACCTCAGTCATTTGCTTTGCTTTGACATATATATAAAATATTTAATATTTCGGTTATCTTCATGGCACTCCGGGCACATTTATTGGTGCTCAGATTCCCCTTTCAACATATACATCAGCGTCCTGCAGTTGATGGTCCCAGTCCTGTGTTGGTTGACAAGACTTCTCCTATGTCTGGTGTGCTTCTCATGCCTGGCTGTGCCGATCTTAACTCCCAATTTTGCACTCTTAGCAAAGATATGGATGTGCTGCTCCCAAAATCCTCCAAACGTCCTGCCTCTCTAATGGCGTTAACAATGTCAGCATGATCCATGGGCCGGCCTACTGTAACTAAAGCAGAGCAGGCTAATTTGTCAGCTCTTTCATTGCCAACAACACCCCCTGGGACAAAGACGAAGGTAACTCTACTGTCCACTATCTGCGTACAAATCCCACCTCAACCCGCCGGACCATACTCATGGAATTACTCAGCGCACACATGCGTGAGAATAGCCCTGTGATGAAATATATATGTATGTATATGTGTATGTGTGTGTATATATATTCGCTTGCATAACCCCTAAGTTAAAATCAATGATTATCATTTCACTTGTGTATTTTAATGTAAAGCTAATAACAATAAACTAAAAATAATATGTATAATTTCTATTTCTAAGATCAAGAAAAAAACAATAAACATAATGTCAACCTATTGCAGGCAGCTTTGGTTATAACTGTGATCTGGTTTCTTTGTGCCAAATGTGTTTGCTAAAATAGTTAATTTGTGACAAATTTAATGGCTTAAATAAAGTCTATAATGCTTGACCCATTTTTGTGCTACAGCTTAATCAACAATTGATGGGTAATATGCTAAACATCACGCCGCTGCCTTTACTTCCCAGGAGATTATCTAGTATCCATTTTAGGCTTGGCCAGCCTGGGAGCCAAGGTCAGGTTCGGAAGAAAATCTGTCTCTGTGCAGATTGGAACCCTTTACCTCCGGGCAGGCAGGCAAGCTCTAGCTGCTGTGCTACCATGGTCCCCAAATGAATAATACTGTGTTGTTATATTATCTGTTGAATGAGCTTTTTTTTTTTTATTATTACAGTTATTTGAACGCATGTGCATGGCATTAGGTGGAAGGGCGGCAGAGAACCTTATTTTCAACCATGTGTCGACAGGTAGGTGGAACAGGGAACTGGAAACCATTTTTAATCCCACACGGTTTTAGTATTTAGTAGTCAAACAAACGTTAGTCTCCTCCACAGAAAGTAGATCACTTTCCATTGATAACTTTCTTGGACTAGTCTAATCTGCTGGACATTATGAGTGTGCCGCTCTGTTGTTTGCTTTCTGGGATGTCTTGCATTAACCATTTTATTCAGAGAAAGAGAATGCCTGTGACATAGATTTCATCACTCTCTAAAGGGGTTTTGTGTTAGACCCAGTTTGTCGATGTTTTTGTAGTCTTAAAAGCGATGGAATGCTGACATATAGAAGACGCAATATCACCGGCATTGGGGAACACCCCCCATCAACTTGTGCCAAGGTCGGGTGGCTCAAGGTCGTCCAGTCAGAAGTGAGCTAGGCTGAGGGTCGACCAATCAGAAGTGAGCTAGTGTGTATATGAGCGGTCTGTAGGGAGACCAATGTTACTATTACCCTTTGTTTCTTTGTTGAACAAAAGAAAATTATTAAACTGAAATCACTGAGGTGGTTTCGTCACAATAAAACCTATACTGGAAGAAAATTAGAGCGAGCAAGAGATAGGCGGGGTTTTCTACTTCTATGTTTGCCTCTTAAAGGGCGGTTGAAAAGTTGTTAAAATATCCCCCTTCCAGTCAGACAGTTAAGATTTCAGCAAAATCTTAATTAGTTACCTTTTATGACATGCCTGTAAAGTGGAGGGTGTAGTAAGTAATATTCTGTGAACTCCCCCCCCCCCCCCCCCCCTCCCAAAAAAGACAGTTGAGCCCCAGGACCCACACTGTCAAGAATACGGATATAAATGGAATAGTAATACCATCCTACTATGGAGTTCCTGGAAATGAAAGAATTGATAAACTAGCTATGGAATGAGCACATAAAGAAGAACCTGACGTACTAGTCTCTTATCAACAAAAGAAGAAAAAAAAATAAAAACAATCAGAAAGCCAACAAAACCGGCACAGTGGGCCACATGAAAGATTATTATCATCATTGTTTCACATGTTTAAATATATTTAAATAATTCAATGTGTTGTTTTGTTCACATTTACCGGCTATAAACTCTGACAGAAAGTCCTAGTGGTTCGTCCATTTCTGGACTTTAGTCTTTTTAAAAGGACTTGAGTTTTGGATAAGCAGTTACTTCAGTGTCCTTTCTTCTGTGTGTATAGCATTTTGTAGCAAACATGCTTCACAATGCAATGGTGCTATTTGTCAGCAATATGTAGCATTTTGTTTTTCTTTAATTGTTGTTTGCTGATGAAGGCTTTCACCACAAGGTCCTTTCTTTATATTAATTGTCCTCTGCAAAGCTGATGTATACTTATTGTTTTCCAGTTGTGTTTACATTTTGTGCAGCTTGACTACAGTCATGTTTATTTGACGTATCAACATCATGGCACACGGGTGTAACTCATAAGTGCTTTGTTCTACTTCTAACTCAAGCCTGAGTCTGAAGAATCTCAGCGCAGTGCACGAACTCCATTGCACCGGTGAGAATCCTGAAATACTTTGGGTAGATTTATAACTCCATATTTTACCCAGGCAGCGCCGTTAGGCTACTCTTTTCGATTTCCAACTGCCAAGGGATTTTTAATGTGCAGTAATACACACGGGTGTCCGATCTTACTACCCATAGACCAGGGTAAATTACTAGATGTCCACGTGAAAAAAATCTCAGCCTTCGCCTCAATCCATAGATATAAAACAAACCTGTCGAAGTTCGAACTTGATTTGATGCTACTTCTTTAACTTTTTCAGGCCCATGAATTTTGACAGACTTGGCCGACATTAATTTTCCTTTACAAAAATGGCAGAGGGGTGGGTGTACAAGAAAGGCATTAGAGAATGTAAAATACTTCTAATCCCTATAAAAAAATATTTAAAGATAAATGAATGTACATTTTGAATCTGATGATAAGTGTATGTTTAATTTTGTTATAGTTAGTAGGAAAGAAAAATTCAGCCGGTGTTCATTTCATAACAACATTTTACAAACAAATTCTTAACTTACCATGGTTTTGCAGCCACTAGAGTATTGAATATCCAAAATTGAGAACATTACTTCAAAGTTTGTTCAATTTCCTAACAAATTCCAAAGTTATATAAGTTTCTGGTTTAGTTTAGCACTTAGAGGCTCTTAGTTTTCATAGTGCTGAGAACAATTTCAGAGAAAAAAATGGCAGAAATATGGGCCATTACACACATGTTATTTACTATTTACTTTGTATAGTTATATACAGACTGTAGCTGCAATGATTTCAATGTAGCTTAGCCATAGTATAGTACTGTCTATTTGTTTGGAGCACTTTCCTTTTCTTACACCATAAATACGGTAGCAATGGGACATTCTCTGTGTAAACTCATCAGAATAGCCAGATTCCCAACAGCTGATCGCTTACCTGCCGCTGGTGAAAATTCACCGTCTGAATCACTTTCCAAAAAATCTAAATTTTCATAATCATTATCAGAATTAGAAACAGCTGACTCAAACAATTTCAGAGCTTCAGCTGCAGAGACGCATTCTGAGACCTGTACTTGTGGTTGGAACATTGGTATTCATGGACTACAAAACCGAACTTACAAAATGCACTGTTGAAAAAGATTTAGCTCTGAATCTGATCAATCTAAGCATGTGTGGCTCTGAATACGGAATGTTGTTAAAAGGAAATTGTTAGAGTGACTCTTTCCCTTAATAATTTAATTGTAGTTCCGAACATTAGAAACAAATATGGAGCCGTGTGCGAAGCAATATGTACAGGTCACACGATCGAGAATGACAGCGTTGTTTGGGCAAAATGGAACTCCTCAATCAATGCTCACACCCTTGCTCGGGCCTCAAAGAATTAATATCTGTGGACTGAACAATTTAATTATCTGACTTTCAGGCGCTCAGGATGATTTGCAAAGAGTTACCAAAATGGCATATGACCAGATCCGCTCTTTCGGCATGAATTCTCGGATAGGCCATCTTTCGTTTCCACAAGATGATGAACAGCAGGGTGTAAAGCCTTACAGTCAGAGGTTGGCATCACTTATTGATGAAGTAAGCATATTTTATAGCAGCCTAATTATGTTTTATTGCATGTTTTATTAATGCAAATATGTAATTATATAAACAAGTTGGAAATTTTCTGATGGCAGGAGAAATGTGGTTTCTTAGAATTGAGAAAGAATTTAATGTGCTCAACTCACCTTATAGCTCATATTTATATATTTGTTGTCTTTCATACAGTATCCCTTCTTAGCCATATTTACTTATTGGGCGAATTGTAATAAAGGGCTAGACTTGTAATTTTGTAGACCAATCTGCACTTGGTGGGTGATGTAGTCAGCATCACACCGGCCACCTTTACTTCCCAGGACTGCACCTGGTACCCACTCAAGGTTAATTCGACCTGGGAGTCAAGGCCATTTCTGGAGGGGGGAAAAGTCCGGCGCCGTCAGGATGCAAACCCACGACCTTCTGATCCGCAGACGGGCGTCTAGAGGCCAACGCCGCGGCGACTCCCACATATATAGCATAACATAACCCTTGACCCATTAGGGTCATGGAGGTGTATTGATGGAAGCACTAGTACATCTTTCTCTGAGTTCCACTTGTAGAACAAGTGGCTAGTAATTTAATTCTGTCCATATCTTGATGTTGTCATTCCAGCTTCTTCTTTGTCCTCCCCCTCCCCCATTTTCTTCTTTGACTCCCCCCCCCCCTTTTCAGTGTTCATCAAAGTTCAGTCTTTGCAATCGAATCATGCCTCACCACATGCCAGATCCAAACTAGCTTGCGACATTTCACCACTGCCAAAAAAGGCTCCTGATGTCCTGCAAATTTGTTAATTTTGTCTCTGACATATCTGTTAGTTTGATGCTGTAAATTGCTAATTCATAGAATTTGTATCATTTATATTTGAAAGGCTGAGTCCTCCTCTCCATTTCTGCAGTGAGATTCCAACTCTCCATATAAGTTAAAATTGCGTATCCTTTACAGGACATTGTAGAACCAACCCCTGCATTTTTTGGCTGTTGTGGTTTTTCTAAGCAAATTTACATCTAGTATTTTGCCATTGTTTTCTGGACGGCCGGCTTCTCGATACCACTGTCGAAACCACCGCAGGGCCAGTAGCTGATATTGAACCCAGCACCCCGTTGCTCATTCGCAACGCCTAAGCCACAGATACCGACATCCTTATAAAAAGATAGACAGTTATCTTTTACAAGCTGTAGTATTCTTCCCTTCATCATAGATGTAATCTGAGTATCATTTATTTATCACTTATCGTCATCATATGGCAGGGCCCTTACTTAATGTCACTGCCATCATGGCTTGCCAGAAGCACACACTGCCTTGCCATATCCCCTGCTGCATTTATTTTAGTGACAAAGATGTCTACAATACTCTGTGTCCACCTTTATGCTGGTCGACCCCTGCCTCTTTTCCTAGAAACCATGTGTATCACTTCTTCTATCCTATATCTCCTAAAGGAACATGGCCATTAACCAACTTGGGCTAGTTTATGGTTCCATATCCCAGTTGAGTTGAGTCAAGAACTGACATCACAGCACTCGGGGCACCACTCCCATGCATACTCCATCCTCATTTTCAGCAGCCAGCGCAGAGTTCCAATACTGATGGTACTAGTCACAATCTGTTATATGTTCGTCTTGCCTTTCCTCTGAGTGTAGTGAGCCGGCCAGACCTTCTGGTTACACCCAGGTGCTTCATTCTCTCCAGGCCATAATAATCTTGTTTCTCTACTGATTCCGTTGCTTGTTACCGAAGGGCCTTGATTACATCTGCCTTGTCATGTATCAATTCACCACCCAGTGGTGCAGATCCAGCCAGTCAGTTCGCCTGTTTATTAACCGCATAGTCCAGAGAAAAGATCCAAAGTATGCTCACTACCCGTGACCTTCTCAGTGAAGCTTGCCACTCTGCTCGAAGCATCCCTGTCTTCACCTTTCTCAGCATGCCTTCAGAGAACGTTACAATAACGACATGTGTATGCATCTTGTTCTCTAGCCACAGGAGAGCTGCAGTTACTGCCTCCACCTCCATTCTCATTCTAGATGTTGTGATATCGTATGCTAGGCTGTCTTGCACTAAAGATTTTCCATTGGCCTTAGCTAGGAAACCCCCAGGCACTTCTCTTTTCTCTCAACACCAATCCATCTGTGTAAATAATCAGATCACCTGGGCGTCAACTGTCGTGAATCAGCTGTTGGACTTTCACCTCCGTCTCCCAGTTACTGCCAAGTGCATGACATGACACTCTGTGCTGCTGATTTCATTTAGAATGTTTTTTGACTGTGTCCAACATACTTGTTATTACAAACTGCAAATTCAGAAAATGATGGGGGGGCTTTTGACAGAGAACTTGTCGTGCCTTATGCGGTTAATTGCGTGTGCAATTACTGATCTGTTGTAATTGCTGCTTCCATGAACAAATTGCATTTCTGGTGTTGGTAGTTTTGTGTTGGCATCTCAGACTGATGGGAGTCGCAGTGGCGGAGCGGCTAGACGCTCGTTGCGAATCGGAAAGTCGTTGGTTCAATCCCTGGCGGAGCCGGACTTTTTTCAAAAATGACCTTGGCTACCAGGTCGACCCAGTCTTGAGTGGGTACCAGGTACAGTCCTGGGAAGTAAAGGCAGCCAGCGTGATGCTGACCACATCACCCATCTTGTACCGATTTGTCTATAAAATATAGGTCTTTTATCCTATATACCCTACCCTATACGCCTAAATGGGTGGAAAGGGGACCTTTACTTTATTTCAGACTTATACATTCAGTGTGCGTCTATGCTGTTTTGTCCTCCAAGACTGTCCCAAATACAACATATCAAGGCTAAACTTTTGGCCAAGAAAAAGAGAGGTGCAACCAAACTTGATGGGTCGCTGATTGAATTACTACAGACAGTGAAGTTCATACAGGAGACAGAATTGTAGATATAGATAATCTGTTTCAAGTGAGAGAAAGAAGAAGAAGATTTGCTAAGACTGCAGTCTGTGTCAATTTTCCACATGGAGCAGTGAAAAGAAAAAAAGATCCCTTTTCACGCCTTTAGGAGCATAGGGCATATATATGGGAAGAGCACCCATATTTTTACAGACCAATCGGCACTAGGTGGGTAATGTGGTCAGCATTACAACGGCCATCTTTACTTCCCCAGAACATACATTCTGGTACCCATTTTAGGCTGGGTCGACCTGCAACGCCCTATACCATGATAAAAATCCACGCAGCCAGCAGTGGGTTTCAATCAGGGTATGTTGGAATTAAAAGTCGGACTCACAATGCATAAGCCACGGACATGGAACAGTGATGGATCTTTTATGTGGTTTTCATTGACAGAGAAATTGATACAGTATGAGACGACCCATTTGCTAAGAACTTTGGAACTGCGATTATCTGACGACCTTGAGTGCCAGGTCATCCTATTATAGGTAAAGCTGCTCCTTTAAAATGATTGGAGGATGTTACCCAAATGCACTCAAAAGACTTCAGGTCAAAATGATTGGAGGATGTTACCCAAATGCACTCAAAAGACTTCAGGTCAAAAGAGGTGTCGCCAAACATGAACACTATACAGGTAGCCAAAGAAGAGCAGTAAACCAACACAGAACCGGTGTTATCAGTCGCCACACGCAGGGGAATATACTGAAGATGGGATCAGAGCTCTTATGGTCTTGTCCTCTGTGCAGTGAGGATAATCTTTCAGTGAATGTTTAAAACATTTCACCACTGCCAAAAGAGGCTCCTGATGTCCTGCACATTTGTTAATTTTGTCTCTGACATATCTGTTAGTTTTATGTATCATTTATATTTGAAAGGCTGAGTCCTCCTCTCCATTTCTGTAGTGAGATTCCAACTCTCCATATAAGTTAAAATTGCGTATCCTTTACAGGACATTGTAGAACCAACCCCTGCATTTTTTGGCTGTTGTGGTTTTTCTAAGCAAATTTACATCTAGTATTTTGCCATAGTTTTCTGGACGGCCGGCTTCTCGATACCACTGTTGAAACCACTGCAGGGTCAGTAGCTGATATTGAACCCAGCACCCCGTTGCTTGTTCACAACGCCTAAGCCACAGATGCCAACATCCTTATAAAAAGATAATCTTTTACAAGCTGTAGTATTCTTCCCTTCATCATAGATGCAATCTGAGCCTCATTTATTTATCACTTATCGTCATCATATGACAGGATCCTTACTTAATGTCACTGCCATCATGGCTTGCCAGAAGATAGGATCATAGATCTTATGGTCTTGTCCTGTGTGCAGTGAGGATAATCTTTCAGTGAACTAACTTACTATCTAATCCAGTGTTTCCCAAACTTTTCTTGGTCGCAGTGCTTTTTTTTTTTTGCAGCCCGGGGCGCCGCTGCACAGTTTGGGAATCACTGATCTAACTAACTAGAAAGTTTGGGAATCACTGATCTAACTAACTAACTAGAAAGTTTGAGAATCACTGATCTAACTAACTAACTAGAAAGATTGGGAATCACTGATCTAACTAACTAACTAACTAGAAAGTTTGGGAATCACTGATCTAACTAACGAACTAGAAAGTTTGGGAATCACTGATCTAACTAACTAACTAGAAAGTTTGGGAATCACTGATCTAACTAACTAACTAGAAAGTTTGGGAATCACTGATCTAACTAACTAACTAGAAAGTTTGGGAATCACTGATCTAACTAACTAACTAGAAAGTTTGGGAATCACTGATCTAACTAACTAGAAAGTTTGGGAATCACTGATCTAACTAACTAACTAGAAAGTTTGGGAATCACTGATCTAACTAACTAACTAGAAAGATTGGGAATCACTGATCTAACTAACTAACTAGAAAGTTTGGGAATCACTGATCTAACTAACTAACTAGAAAGTTTGGGAATCACTGATCTAACTAACTAACTAGAAAGATTGGGAATCACTGATCTAACTAACTAACTAACTAGAAAGTTTGGGAATCACTGATCTAACTAACGAACTAGAAAGTTTGGGAATCACTGATCTAACTAACTAACTAGAAAGTTTGGGAATCACTGATCTAACTAACTAACTAGAAAGTTTGGGAATCACTGATCTAACTAACTAACTAGAAAGTTTGGGAATCACTGATCTAACTAACGAACTAGAAAGTTTGGGAATCACTGATCTAACTAACTAACTAACTAGAAAGTTTGGGAATCACTGATCTAACTAACTAACTAGAAAGTTTGGGAATCACTGATCTAACTAACTACCTAGAAATTGTAGATTTAAAAATAAAAATGTTATTTTATGTTTTCTTTCACAGGAGGCAAGAATGTTGGTGGCCAAGGCTTTCCTGCACACGCAGTCAGTGCTACAACAGAACAAGGATAAACTGCAGAAGGTAAAAGGGCTCATGTTTTAGAGATTGATTGTCCTCAGCTTCTTCTGCATTTGTCATTACAATTATTTGCCCCATTTCATTGTGGTTTACAGCTAGGCTGCGCTATCTGCACTTTCGGCCCAAAACGTATTGTTGAAAAATGTAATTCTCACCTAAGTGCAATCTCAGGGCTGTTATTTGTCAGTTTACCGTACGCCAAAAGCGCACATGTGAATTCCTACTTCTTCTTCTTCTGTTGTCTCACTGATACCAAGTTGTAGCCTTGCGGCGTGGTTTTCTGTGTTCGTCTTGAGCTTCTCGTGTGGCTTGGGTGGTGGATTTGTTCATCTTGCGCTTCTCGTGTGGCTTGGGTGGTGGATTTGTTCATCTTGCGCTTCTCGTGTGGCTTGGGTGGTGGATTTGTTCGTCTTTTTGCAGGTTTCAGCTACACTATTTATCCATCTCTTCCTTGGTCTTCCTCTCGCCTTCCTCCCAGATGCCCTGTTGTAAAAGATGTCATATGCACAGGTTTGGTCTGGCTGCATTCTCACCTTTTCCTACTCCATGTGAACAAAATCTCCTTGCTGGTGAAGAATAGCATATTGTGTTTTTAAAAAAAATGCAAGTAAACACACTTTGAGTTGCTTGGTACTGAAAGAGTTAATGTTTAAGTCCATTTAGGTGGCATGACACTTTAGACAAATACAAAAGCACTGTTGTGCATGACACTTTAGACAAATACAAAAGCACTGTTGTGCATGACACTTTAGACAAATACAAAAGCACTGTTATACATGACACTTTAGACAAATACAAAAGCACTGTTATACATGACACTTTAGACAAATACAAAAGCACTGTTATACATGACACTTTAGACAAATACAAAAAGCACTGTTATACATGACATTTTAGACAAATACAAAACCACTGTTGTGCATGACACTTTTGGCAAATATAAAAGCACTGTTGTGCATGACAAATACAAAAGCACTGTTGTACATGACACTTTAGACAAATACAAAAGCACTGTTGTACATGACACTTTAGACAAATACAAAAGCACTGTTGTACATGACACTTTAGACAAATACAAAAGCACTGTTGTGCATGACACTTTTAGCAAATACAAAAGCACTGTTGTGCATGACACTTTTAGCAAATACAAAAGCACTGTTGTGCATGGCACTTTTAGCAAATACAAAAGCACTGTTGTGCATGGCACTTTTAGCAAATATAAAAGCACTGTTCTGCATGACACTTTTAGCAAATACAAAAGCACTGTTGTGCATGGCACTTTTAGCAAATATAAAAGCACTGTTCTGCATGACACTTTTGACAAATATAAAAGCACTGTTGTACATGACACATTTGACAAATACAAAAGCACTGTTGTACATGACACTTTAGACAAATACAAAAGCACTGTTGTGCATGATACTTTTAGCAAATACAAAAGCACTGTTGTACATGACACTTTAGACAAATACAAAAGCACTGTTGTGCATGACACTTTAGACAAATATAAAAGCACTGTTGTACATGATACTTTTAGCAAATACAAAAGCACTGTTGTACATGACACTTTAGACAAATACAAAAGCACTGTTGTACATGACACTTTTAGCAAATACAAAAGCACTGTTGTACATGACACTTTAGACAAATACAAAAGCACTGTTGTGCATGACACTTTAGACAAATATAAAAGCACTGTTGTACATGATACTTTTAGCAAATACAAAAGCACTGTTGTACATGACACTTTAGACAAATATAAAAGCACTGTTGTACATGACACTTTAGACAAATATAAAAGCACTGTTGTACATGACACTTTAGACAAATATAAAAGCACTGTTGTACATGACACTTTAGACAAATATAAAAGCACTGTTGTACATGACACTTTAGACAAATATAAAAGCACTGTTGTACATGACACTTTAGACAAATATAAAAGCACTGTTGTACATGACACTTTTAGCAAATACAAAAGCACTGTTGTACATGACACTTTAGACAAATACAAAAGCACTGTTGTGCATGATACTTTTAGCAAATATAAAAGCACTGTTGTACATGACACTTTAGACAAATATAAAAGCACTGTTGTACATGACACTTTAGACAAATATAAAAGCACTGTTATACATGACACTTTAGACAAATATAAAAGCACTGTTGTACATGACACTTTAGACAAATATAAAAGCACTGTTGTACATGACACTTTAGACAAATATAAAAGCACTGTTGTACATGACACTTTAGACAAATACAAAAGCACTGTTGTGCATGACACTTTTAGCAAATATAAAAGCACTGTTGTACATGACACTTTAGACAAATATAAAAGCACTGTTGTACATGACACTTTAGACAAATATAAAAGCACTGTTGTACATGACACTTTAGACAAATATAAAAGCACTGTTGTACATGACACTTTAGACAAATATAAAAGCACTGTTGTACATGACACTTTAGACAAATACAAAAGCACTGTTGTACATGACACTTTTAGCAAATATAAAAGCACTGTTGTGCATGACACTTTTAGCAAATACAAAAGCACTGTTGTGCATGACACTTTTAGCAAATATAAAAGCACTGTTGTACATGACACTTTAGACAAATACAAAAGCACTGTTGTACATGACACTTTTAGCAAATATAAAAGCACTGTTGTACATGACACTTTTAGCAAATACAAAAGCACTGTTGTGCATGACACTTTTAGCAAATATAAAAGCACTGTTGTACATGACACTTTAGACAAATATAAAAGCACTGTTGTACATGACACTTTAGACAAATATAAAAGCACTGTTCTGCATGACACTTTAGACAAATACAAAAGCACTGTTGTACATGACACTTTTAGCAAATACAAAAGCACTGTTGTACATGACACTTTAGACAAATATAAAAGCACTGTTGTGCATGACACTTTAGACAAATACAAAAGCACTGTTGTACATGACACTTTTAGCAAATACAAAAGCACTGTTGTACATGACACTTTAGACAAATATAAAAGCACTGTTCTGCATGACACTTTAGACAAATACAAAAGCACTGTTGTACATGACACTTTTAGCAAATACAAAAGCACTGTTGTACATGACACTTTAGACAAATATAAAAGCACTGTTGTGCATGACACTTTAGACAAATATAAAAGCACTGTTGTACATGACACTTTTAGCAAATACAAAAGCACTGTTGTACATGACACTTTAGACAAATATAAAAGCACTGTTGTACATGACACTTTAGACAAATATAAAAGCACTGTTGTACATGACACTTTAGACAAATATAAAAGCACTGTTGTACATGACACTTTAGACAAATACAAAAGCACTGTTGTACATGACACTTTTAGCAAATATAAAAGCACTGTTGTGCATGACAAATACAAAAGCACTGTTGTACATGACACTTTAGACAAATACAAAAGCACTGTTGTACATGACACTTTAGACAAATACAAAAGCACTGTTGTACATGACACTTTAGACAAATACAAAAGCACTGTTGTGCATGACACTTTTAGCAAATACAAAAGCACTGTTGTGCATGACACTTTTAGCAAATACAAAAGCACTGTTGTGCATGGCACTTTTAGCAAATATAAAAGCACTGTTCTGCATGACACTTTTAGCAAATACAAAAGCACTGTTGTGCATGGCACTTTTAGCAAATATAAAAGCACTGTTCTGCATGACACTTTTGACAAATATAAAAGCACTGTTGTACATGACACATTTGACAAATACAAAAGCACTGTTGTACATGACACTTTAGACAAATACAAAAGCACTGTTGTGCATGATACTTTTAGCAAATACAAAAGCACTGTTGTACATGACACTTTAGACAAATACAAAAGCACTGTTGTGCATGACACTTTAGACAAATATAAAAGCACTGTTGTACATGATACTTTTAGCAAATACAAAAGCACTGTTGTACATGACACTTTAGACAAATACAAAAGCACTGTTGTACATGACACTTTTAGCAAATACAAAAGCACTGTTGTACATGACACTTTAGACAAATACAAAAGCACTGTTGTGCATGACACTTTAGACAAATATAAAAGCACTGTTGTACATGATACTTTTAGCAAATACAAAAGCACTGTTGTACATGACACTTTAGACAAATATAAAAGCACTGTTGTACATGACACTTTAGACAAATATAAAAGCACTGTTGTACATGACACTTTAGACAAATATAAAAGCACTGTTGTACATGACACTTTAGACAAATATAAAAGCACTGTTGTACATGACACTTTAGACAAATATAAAAGCACTGTTGTACATGACACTTTAGACAAATATAAAAGCACTGTTGTACATGACACTTTTAGCAAATACAAAAGCACTGTTGTACATGACACTTTAGACAAATACAAAAGCACTGTTGTGCATGATACTTTTAGCAAATATAAAAGCACTGTTGTACATGACACTTTAGACAAATATAAAAGCACTGTTGTACATGACACTTTAGACAAATATAAAAGCACTGTTATACATGACACTTTAGACAAATATAAAAGCACTGTTGTACATGACACTTTAGACAAATATAAAAGCACTGTTGTACATGACACTTTAGACAAATATAAAAGCACTGTTGTACATGACACTTTAGACAAATACAAAAGCACTGTTGTGCATGACACTTTTAGCAAATACAAAAGCACTGTTGTGCATGACACTTTTAGCAAATATAAAAGCACTGTTGTACATGACACTTTAGACAAATATAAAAGCACTGTTGTACATGACACTTTAGACAAATACAAAAGCACTGTTGTACATGACACTTTTAGCAAATACAAAAGCACTGTTGTACATGACACTTTAGACAAATATAAAAGCACTGTTGTGCATGACACTTTAGACAAATATAAAAGCACTGTTGTACATGACACTTTTAGCAAATACAAAAGCACTGTTGTACATGACACTTTAGACAAATATAAAAGCACTGTTGTACATGATACTTTTGACAAATATAAAAGCACTGTTGTACATGATACTTTTAGCAAATACAAAAGCACTGTTGTACACAGCATGTTTGTATTTTGCTCTCCACAGCTTGCTACCACACTGCTTGAGAAGGAGGTACTCAACTACGACGACATTGAGAAGCTGATTGGGCCACCACCCCACGGGAAGAAGCACATCATCGAGCCTCACGGCTGGGAAGGCATCATGCCGGAGCCAAATGTGGAGAAAAATAAACAGTAACTGTTTGTGAGCCTGAAATGTAAACAAAAGGATATTTGTTCATAAAGAAATATGAAAACATTCAATTCTGAATTATGTACTTTGTTCTCCACTTTATCTGTAAAATAAAGGAAAGGACTGTTTTCATGGCATAGGCATATTGGGCATGTAGTGCTAGACCTTTGTATAGACCAACTGGCACTTAATAGGTGATGTGGTCAACACCTGCCTTTACTTCTCAGGACATTTCTTAGTAACAGTTCAGCCTGGGTCAGCCGGGGAACCACATTCAGTTAAAAAATTCTGCCTGGATTGTGGAATTAAACCCCAAGGTCTGCCTTAATAAGTATTTTAAAAATTGTTGATGTGCAACTGTTCCAATTACAGTTAGCTTAGAAAGACATGCCTTTAGAATTAGTTTAATATCTCCAGAACCATTGTATAGATCACAAGGATTTTTTGGCACATTCTGCTTCCATTGCGGAATTGAACCTCAGGGCTTGCCTTATTAAGTAAGAAAATAACAATTCTTCTTCTTCTTCAGCATTCTGAGCCCTTGAGCTCCACTCAGTGTTTGCAGGTCTGTCTGGACATTATCTCTCCATCGTTTTCTTGGACTGTGTCGTGGTCTAATAAGGTTTCATCTATCTCTTTTAGTTGTGCTCCAAGTTTCAGAGCCATGTAAAACGACTAGTCTTATCAACGTTTTATATATTTAGATATGGTGTTGAATTTCATAAACATGGATCCTCATAAACATACTAGTTTCATTAGCTAAAAAAATAAAGTATTTGGTTACTTGTCGTCTGCTGTCGTGTAAAAGTGTTACTGATGCCTGTTTGGATGAGGTGCTTTGTTTCTTGGAGGTTTTTTTTTTGTTTTGGCCACAGTAAAATCAATTACTATTTAATTGTCAGACTGTTATAGACATTGTACATTTATCACAACACAGAAATGTATTTCACCAGTGCATTGAGCGGGCATAAAAACCACCAATATTTCTTTTGATAAGGCTGTTTCATGATTGTTCATAGTAAACTATATTCTTGCATTGCCCATAGAAAAACTTCAATTGTTTTCTTTGTTTTTTGATAAGAGTGATCAAGTGATATATTTGAATAAATTTTAAACACTGTACTATCTTGTGTATTCTTTTCTTTTTCAATCTTTTTTTGTCAGAACAATTTATATAAAAATGTTGAATTAAGAATCGACATCACAGCACTCGGGACACTCCCATAAGTGCTCAGTCCCCATCTTCAGCGCAAGCAAAAGAGTTCTAATTCCAATAGTACCGGTAACCATCTGATTGTATATCCATCTCATCCTTTCCTCGAGGGTCGGCTAGATCCCCTGGTAACTCCTCGTTGCACCATTCTCCTTCGACGGCAATGATCTAGCTGTGCCTCCGCACTTTTCACTTGCTCCTAAAGGGCCCTCACAATATCTAACTTGTAATTTACATCAGTTGGCGTCTGTGACTTAGAGGTTGCGAACGCGCTTCGTAATGTCGGGGTGCCAGGTTCGATCCCTGCTGCGGACAGTTTGTCTAACGATAGTTTCGACCATGGTACCGAGAGCTGACCGTCCAGAAAACAACGGCAAACTAGTGGATGTAAATTTGCCTAGAAAAACCACAACAGCCAGAAAGTGCTAGGGTTGGTTCTGCCATGCCCTGTAAAGGATGCGCAACTAATTAAATAAAATTTATATCAGGAGGCCAGTAGCCCTAAAAAAGGCTGCATTGCAGTCCAAAATTCCTGATGTCCCCTACAGGTTTGTCTTAGTTGAGGTTTAAACATCACTGCAATCCGGTTTCCCCATATTTGCCCTGTTCCTGTACTGTGCTAATCAAATGAAATTTTCCTCACTGTCGCATTTGAAAAACTGATGAACAAACAATTAGTCCTGACACAATCTAGAAATATGCACACACAGCATATAGCAGTTGCTAGAGGTGCCAAAGCCAACAGTCGACACTAGAAATGCAGTGTGTTGTTAATGGAAGTAGTCCAGCACGATAAGTTGGGTATACACACGTGAAATTATTACATAAGGTATTTCACCAGCCCATACCTAAACCGACTACCGGCCATATTGAATACCAGACACAATCACTGCATAAATGAAAGGAATTCCACATGAAAAACACAGCTCACAGTGCTGTCCCTAACATTAAACTCAGTAGGTCAGGCAGCGAAACTAGATTTTCATCCATATGTGGAAACTGCATTAGCAAAGCGCTATCAGATGCAAAAATAAAACCATTCTTCCATGCCTAGTCCTCATGTTTGGACCGGCAGACTGCTTCTCCTTAGCCGTACACAGTTTACAGTATTTGGGTACATGCTCAGCATTTTCAGATGTGAAGTGGCTGCGATACATCTCTGTGATTCTTGTACTGAAAAACTTGCATGTAAGTTGGTAAAATCTGTTGGGCTCTGTCCTTAGACTGAATGTGATACACTGTTCCTTGCTAGAGAGGTGATAAAGCAAGTCTTGGAGAGAGAAAGTGGTGTGGGTATCCAGTCATTGACTTTTTACAGCAGAACATCTGGGAGGAAAGCGAGAGGAAGACCAAGAAAGAAATGGATAAATGCTGTAGCAGAAAACTACAAAAAGATGAACAAGTCCATCACCCAAGCTACCCGAGAAGCGCTAGACAAATACAGAAAACCATGACACTAGGCTGCAACCTGGTATCAGACGTCAAAACCATGACGCTAGGCTACAACCTGGTATCAGACGTCAAAACCATGACGCTAGGCTACAACCTGGTATCAGACGTCAAAACCATGACGCTGGGCTGCAGCCTGGTAACAGTAAGACAACACTGACTAACATCCACCGGGCTTTATCCCCACAAAATGGGGCCCCAGACCCACACAAAGATCTTGCATTAAAAAAAAAAAGTTGTACATGAATTTCATGCACGGTTTAAATAAACTACACTGCTTAAAATTCACCTCATATGGGAATTATCAATGGCTAATTGGTTAAGCGATTGATGTCAGGCTAAAGGCTGTGGCTTCTTTCAGACCAAAGCAAGTTTACATTGAACCCTGGTAATTTTTATTGAGCTACAGAGTTTGAACTTTATGATGCCCTTGGTAACCTGCCTTTCTGTAACAAGAGACAGAGCCTTATGAAATAGTTGAGTCAAAAATTGACATCCCAGCACCCGGGGCATTCCCATGCATGCTCTGACCTCATCTTCAGCAGCCAGAGCAGACTTTCAATACTGACGGTACCGGTCACAATCTGGTTATATGTCCGTCTTGCCTTTTCTGTGAGTGTAATGAACCGGCCAGACCCTCTGGTTACACTCAGGTGCCTCATTCTCTCCAGGCCATAATAATCTTGTTTCTCTAAAGATTCCATTGCTTGTTACCAAAGGGCCTTGACCACATTTGCCTTGTCATGTATCAATTCACCTCCCAGTGGTGCAGATCCAGCCAATCTCTCTGCCTGTTTATAACCCACCACACAAGCATAGCCTGGAGAAATTTAAAGTATTCTTTCTACCAATAAATGAGGAGACAGGCCACTAAAGATGGATTAGATGTCTTATGTGACATCAAAACAATTGTACAGGATACAGTAAAATTGTGTAACTGACTATACAATATAAACTGCATAAAAGGATAATTCAAGCTGACTGAAATGTCAATTAATGACCAAACAAAAACATACTGAGAGGGAAAGCCTTGCCGCAAGCATTTTTTTTTTTAAATAAATGAAACAGACCCATCTGTCCAACTACTGCAACAAGGAATGCCCCAGTGCATCTATGTGGAAAACGTGATTTACAGTAAGAAGAGGCACTTTGCTTGCTTTCAGTTTGAGAAAAAGATGCACAGTAATCATCATACATCTGCTGTAAATATTATCTTGTCTTTCTTCAAAATACTCATTTATGCAGAATCTGCATTAACTCTTTGAGTCCCAAGGAGCGTATCATACGTTAATAGGTTCCTACCTAGAAGCCCAATGAACGCATGATGTGTCGATTTTATCACTTTATTTACTACCCCTGGGCCTGTGATGCTAAACCCCTCGGGACTTAAACAGTTAAAATTATCACACTTATGAAGTTCCCAGTATGATCTGGTGTCTCCGCAGACAGGCAGGAGGAGGAAAAAATGCATTTCAATCATCACACTGGTAAGGCTTCTCTTGGGTGTGTGTTCTCCTGTGTGTCTTTAGATTGTGAAATCGAGAAAATGATGCACAACAACTTACTCACAATTATAGGTTTTCTCTCCTGTATGTGTTCTCTTGTGTTTCCTTAGACTCCTGGCTTCTGAAAAGATTTACCACAATCTTGTAAGGTTTCTCTCTTGTATGTGTTCTCTTGTGTGACTTCAGGTAGTCAGACCGAGAAAATAATGCACCACAGTCATCACACTTGTAAGGTTTCTCTCCTGTGTGTGTTCTCTGGTGTGATTTCATGTAGTCAGACCGAGAAAATGATGCACCACAATCATCACACTTGTAAGGTTTCTCTCCTGAATGTGTTCTTTTATGTTTCTTTAGATTGCTGGCTTCTGTAAAAGATTTATCACAATAATCACACTTGTGAGATTTCTCTCTTGTATGTGTTCTCTTGTGTGTCTTTAGACTCCCAGACTGAGAAAATAAAGCACTACAATGATCACACTTGTAAGGTTTCTCTCTTGTATGTGTTCTCTTGTGTGATTTCAGAGTGTCCAATTGAGAAAATAATGCTTCACAAACATCACACTTGTAAGGTTTCTCTCCTGTATGCATTCTCTTATGTTTCTTGAGACTTCTGGTTTCTGTAAAAGATTTACCGCAATAATCACACTTGTGAAGTGTCTCTCTTGAATGTTTTTTCTTGTGTGTCTTCAAGTAGTCAGACCGAGAAAATGATGCACCACAGTCATCACACTTGTAAGGTTTCTCTCCTGTATGTGTTCTCTTGTGTGACTTCAGGTAGTCAGACCGAGAAAACGATACACCGCATTCATCACACTTGTAAGGTTTCTCTCTTGTATGTG